CCGGAATTGTCCAGAACTAAAATAGAAAAATGTAAAATAATTTAATTATTAGAGAAAAAAAGGAATGAACAGAAATTTTTTATAGAAACTTGAGGAATAGTCTAGACCCATGTTTCTCAATTGCCGGTCCGCAACTCTAATCTGACCAGTTTGCAAAAACTTTAAAAATATATATTTAACCTGTCATGCTTTGTTCCTGAATAGGAAATATGTGGATTATTAATCTGTGTATTGACAGCAAACTAATAGATTGAACGACTTTGAACACGAAAAACTAATCGAATTAAGTTCAGACTTGGGATTTAAAACATTGTTTGAATCAATGCTCATAACACAGTTTTGGATTAAAGTTAAATCTGAATATCCAATTTTACGTGAAAAGGTAGTTAGGATGTTACTACCTTTTCCAACAACGTACCTATGTGAATCAACATTTTCAGTAATGGTAATGATAAAATCGAAACAATGAAATCATAAGTGTTAGTTCTGCCTCATGCCTTGCAGTTACCACCTTAAATCCAAGAATTGATGATCTTACTAGCAAAAAAGAAAAGCAGCGATCACATTGATTTGTATACTAATGTACTGGTAAATAAATAACAAATATTTATTGCTTAATGTAGTTTGCAGTTCTTTTTACAACAGAGAATTTTTTTCAATTAAAAATAATATTGTCACCGGTCTGCTTAAAAAAAGCAGATATTTTCCAGTCTACGATGAGTTTTGGGTTGAGAAACCCTGATCTAGACTATCCTTTCTCAAAGTGGGCGATAATGCCCCTTTGTGGGCACTGGAGGCTTTTATGGGGGCAGTAGAAGGCTCAGTGATTTAAATATGAGTTTTATTTCTTCTCATCGAAACATTCTTTGATCTCAGAAATAGGATATGGGTCACACCCACCTATCCTATCCATATAATAATGCATGTTTAAACATTATATTTGCAATAACTGTTTTTAAGATATGCAACAGATGGTAATGTAAAAAAGCTTAAGTTAAAAGTTAAGTTAAAAAATATGGGGCACTAGATTTTTTTTATCTCAAAGTGGGCAGTGATCGAAATAAGTTTGAGAACCTGTGGTCTAGATAATGCAGCTCCCACGATCAATCATTTGGATTGGAGTCGGATTTTCTATTGTTTGAAATGAAAATAAATACACTTGAGGAGAAAAGGCTAAAACTATATTAATATAATAGTTTTTTTGTTTTGTGAATTGTAATTCACTTTTTATTTTCTAATTATCTGTATTTTGAAAAAAGAGGACTAATACTAAGAAGTTTCTCTGTATTTTGATTGTCCATTTTGTAAAAAAAATAAAAAGATTTTACAATAAATTAGATGCATTTGTTAGAGAAGCTATAGTATAAACTTACACCTGTTCCTCTTTATGTACAACCATTGATTTTTTACATAGGAAAAATGCTTTATTTAAAAATTTTTAAATTTAACTTTTTGTTAAAATTACATTGCTGTTTAAAAAAAAGTTACTCTTTTTGTTGAAAGATTGATTTTAAAATTGTGTGTTTCTAACAAGTAAGTCAAGAGTTCATTTTAAGCACAATACAGTACTATTTGTTTATCAGAGAATACTGTTTGTTGATTTTGTGTTACCTTGTATTTACTAGATTTACATACAAATAATAATGATAAATGATGATAAAATAAAAAGCTTGTGTTTTGTTTGTAAATTGCTTATTTTTTCATTACATTGAAGTTGTGGATTCTATCAAACATTTTTCTACAGGATGTATGTACTGTATTTTTTTAATGTGGCAGTCTTTGAAGCATATCAACTGTGCAAAAAGAGGGCTAGATGTACTCAATGTTAACAGTAAATGCCGTTTTATTATGTCGATATTCCACACTAAAAAATGTGAGGGTCAGGGAATTTGGACAAAGTTGGTCAGGGAATTCAAAACAAAAATTTGAATAGGAACACTGTATACATCTGAAGGGATGATGTACTTCCTATACCTGACTTTTCTGTCAATGTTCTTGATTCTTCTTTTCCCTTCAGAAGTGATAAGGCATAGAAATTAAAAAATACTTGACAATGAGTTGAATGTGTATAATAGGTTCCATATTATTAAGACGAAAATGGTTATTCTTGTTTTTCTTGTTAATAAATTTGATAAAACTGTATCTCGCAAACAAGTTTACTGTTACATGTTGTTCCTTATTTCATTTTTTATGAAATAAGGAAATATGAAATAAGGATAAAAAATATGAAATAATTTTTTATGAAATAAGGAAAAAATGTTTTTTATTTCATTTTTTATGAAATAAGGAACATTTTTTTATTATTATTTTATTGTAATTTAATCCAAAAATGCAAAAATAAACATACTAAATTTCAGAAACTCTGTAAATTAACTCAACTTAAATAGTATAACATGACACCTTCCTCTCAAATTTCATACAAATGTGAAATTTGAGAGGAAGGTGTTATTTTTAAGAATAGGGTTGATTCTCAGTGTAACCCACACTTACTACAACTACAACTAATGTAAATAAGCCATAATTGTTTTATTGCACTGTAAACAAAATTTTCTTCCTGATTTTTAAGTTAGTCAAATTACAATGTTATTATTTTATTGTACTTAAAAGAATGTTTTCTTTAAGATTTATTAACAACTAATCTTGTTAGATTTGATTAATTTTATTTTTTAATCAGTTTTATTGGCATGCTGGCCAATCTGTGGAAATATAGTATAATAAATTTTATTTTCACCAGTTAGACATGGCAATAGGATGTCCTGATACTGCTGATACCATATTGATACTTTCTTTGAATACTGAGTAATTTTGTCCTATACTTTTTCTTGGGTATTGGATCTGGCATCATTATATTTTTTGCAAACAGGTAAAATCCAATTGGATTCAGTATTCAGCTGCATAATACAATTTCAAACTGAAGCTGAATTTTGTTTTTAAAGTTACTTTTGGCCAAAAACAAATCTTACAGTATTTTTGGTTAAGTTAAAGTTATATAGTAAATATTAATGACCTAAAATCAATAAATTTATTACATTTAAATTTCATTTCATTTGCAGAATCTATATTTGGTATNGGCTATGTCTTGGGCTACTCAAATATTTTACGTTTTTGATACTAAATTAACTTCTGAAGTATAATTTTTTATTGTTTTTATATTTTTCAATATATTTATTTTGTTTGTACAAAATAAAAAAATAATTTTTAATGATACAATAGTCTTTGTTAGGCTTAACATCGACGAAAATTCAACGCAAAGCAACATGCAATGGAGAAAAATGTCAAGATGGGATAAATTAATATATTTTTTTGTACATAATGGGTTATCCGAAACATCGATTTTCCGAACAACCCCGGTCCCCAATTGATTTGGATAATCGACGCTCTACTGTATTAAGTTTAGAGATTGTGTTTTTCCATGAAAATAACTTTTATATCACAATTTTACTTTTTGTTTTTGGAAATATGATCTTTAATAGATTAAAGTTCAGCTACGATGAGATGGGTATTAATATGTAATAAACGAGTTTATTCATTTTTACTAAAATTAAACTCTGTAAAGTTTAATGCAATAATTTCTGTTGTATTAAATTATTCAAAATTTTCACATTATTATTGTATAACTTGTTAGTTTTTTTTCAATAGTTTCCAATTTTCACAAATTCATTTATGTTGAAAAATAAGTTTTTTAAAATAAAATAATTTTTTGTGCTTAGATAAGAATTGCAGAATAATTCTGAAAATGGTTATCATATGCTTGCTTAATACTTAATTTTGCACTTGTTAAGTATTATTATTAATCCATGTGTTGGTAAAAAGGACATTACCAGTCTATTATAAAAAAAATTTAAGTACTATTCAGAAATTTTTTCTCTCTTGATAATTAGTTTGGTTTTTCTGTGCCAAAATCTGTTTTCTTTTTCATTATTTTTTTTTATTCTTTATATAGCAATATATTTTTCTTTTACTATATTAACATACCTTTGAAGAAGCTATATGAACTGCATGTAAAAATTGCATATTGTATTAGAAACTCTATATATCTCTGTGTATGTGTGTGACTACAGATATTCTGATTTAGAGAGACCTAAATTATAATTTGCAAATTAAGTTGTCTTACATTTTATATTAATTCAATAAATCATATTTTATGAAATTTTAGAAATGTGTTAAAGCATTGAACTACTTTTCTTACTCACATGCACTTCATTTTGCTAGCTTAATTATTTTAAATTTGGTAAATAAAGGATTTTTGTAGTAGTAGTAATTTCATATACTTTCAATAAAATATTATTTACACACTTAAATTAAATACATATTGTTTAGTAGTGAAATTTTTTTAGCAATTTCATTAAATAACTATTATGCAAAAAAAAAATTAATTTTGTCTCATTTGGCAGATGCAGATATTATGTAATTGTATTTGTATCAGTGAGATAATAAATTATGGAAATACAGTAGAATCTTGATTATCTGACATAATATGGATCAATGCTATTTCAGATAACCAAACACTTGATAAAACAGATTGGATTAAAAATTAAATATAAAAGATTTATGGTATCAATTTTAAACCTTGTTTTGTATCTTTATTGAATTTAATCATATATAAGAACATTTTTACATCATTTATTATATAGCTAATACACACATTTTTATTAACTATTATTAGTTATATTTTGATATGAATGATTTGTCTCACTGATTTGAAGATTTGAAGTTAAATGATAAATGGTAACAGAAACAAATCATTTGGTAATATATTTTATTGTTTTATACTTTTTTATGAAATAAAATATAAGAAAACTAGTGCATCACTTAGGTATGCCTTGGATAATGCTAAATCTTGGTTAATAGGGGTTCTACTTTGTTGAACTTTTTGATTTTTGAAATTATTTTTGAAATGAAATTATTTGAAATGATTTTTGAAATTATTAAGAATATATTTGACTTTGTAAATTTTATATATAAAGATTGTTAAAAAATTTTATCTGGTAATGAATTTAGAATTCTTCTTATTCTAGTTCAACATTCAGAATCAACATCTGAAAATCTTGCTGCTCCTCATTTGACCAGTGCAGAATCATCAGGAATGAATAGAAATCAACAAGATGAAAAACAATTGCATCAAGATTCCCAGTCACAATTTATAGAAAATATATCTTGTCTAGAAAAACTTGGAGCTGATATGGAACATATTTTAAGAAATGGTTTTTCTTGGTGGGGCTATTTTGTTGCTGAACATCCAATTTCTGTTATGCTATGCTCATTGTTAATTAGTTTGGTTTTGGCCTCTGGACTGTTGTTTAATTTTACTGTCACTACTGACCCAGTTGATCTCTGGGTTTCATCAAACAGTGAAGCACGTCAGAACATGGAATACTTTAATAGACACTTTGAGTAAGTATTATATCAATTTATTTTGTTAATTAATAATTATTAATTATGGTTTTTATACATTAGTTTATATTATTCGAATATAAAATAACAAACATTTAAGTGATGATAACTTTATCTTAATTGTTTTATTTATTTGTCGAAACTGTGCCTTCTTCTTCTTGTTTTGTTTGGTTCAATGTTTATCTTAATTTTTCAATTTTTATTATAAGAGAGCTATAGATATTAATGTCTTTCTTAAATTGCATCACCATTATAGTAAAATAATATTTTTTATTCATTTGTTACAGGTGAATGGGTTGAGGTGCAGTTATAAAGGTGTACCTAGAGTTTGCACCTAATGACTTGTTTGGAAGTCTAGCTATGACATTTTTAATATAGATAATTTATTTAAAAAATATAATTAACTACTGATTATTCTTAAACAGTGAAGAGATATTTGAACAAATATCTTTTAATAGTACTAATAAAAATAAAAACAAATTTCATTTGTTTTGCTGTTTACAAAGTGCTGTGATATATAGGTAAAACATGTGGCCAGATCTTATCATTGATAGTTTTGAACATAACTAGTGAAAACTAAACCATGAAAAATAATTCAGATTGTCATTATCCCTCTCACTATAGATGGCATATCTTTTTTCAGTTTATAAAAATTCAAATTCTAACACTTATACCTACACCCATTCTTTCATATTGAAGTACATTTTGCATTTGAAGGTTATGCAGAAATTAATCTATCATACAAGCCAGCCTCTGAAGTGTGCCAATAATTGATGATTCTGTTGATTTTGATGATTTTATTGCCATATCTACTAATTTCAATTGTGTAATGCTATTTTCTACCTTAACCTTATAGTTTAATACAAAATATTAAATATAATACAAATACTTAAAATAAATTTAACCACGGTCTGTTGGTGTTAGATAATTTTGTTTACATGAATTATGCAAGTACTATTGACAGTGTATAAATCATCTTAAAGCAAAAATTTGAAATTAAAACAAGTGCTTTGAATCTGTTAAGAAATTTGAAAAGGGAACATATTTTTAAACTTAGAAATATTTTGTTCTAAGTTTACAAACAACATTAAGGTTAATTTTTAATAAATTTTATTAAATTAACCTTACTCAATTAAGTAATCTGGCACATTATTTGGCAATATTAAACTAGATAGGTCATTATATATGTTGTACATATACTCACAAATTAAATATAACTTTATTTAAGTAAAGTCTGAATGATAAACAATTAAATTGTCAGAATAATAGAGCACCACTTCATTTTGTTTTCCTTACTGTAATAAACTATTTTTAATATCGGCCATAGTATAAATTTATAAAAATATGAATTACTCAAATGAAATACAAAATGATCTGATTTATTTATTCAATATTGAAAAAAAAACTTCAGCTCTTTTATACCAATACTAAAAATTAAATGAAGCATTTGAATTTAATAAAGCAACAAGTACACTTTTATGTACTTGTTGCTGAATGTACTTCCACTGTCACAATTGGCATATTAATATCGCCAAACAATCACCTAAATAATCGGACTATAACTCCGCTAATTTAATGATTAATACTAAGTAATTTGCTACTAGAAGTAGATGTTAGGTGCTATCTCTTAACTAAATTAATAATTATAATTTTACTGTTCTAAATTATTTAATAAATTATTAAAATTATAATTATTAATTTATTTAAGAGATAGCACCTAACATCTACTTCTAGTAGCAAATTACTTAGTATTAATCATTAAATTAGCAGAATTATAGCCTGATTATTTAGGTCATTGTTTGGTGATGTTTCTATGTACATATTGGGTTGTGTGATGTTTTATATATTGACATGTTAATTGTTTCATGAATGCTTTTGCTAGAAATATAGAAGAATAAAATTCTATAATATGTCAACAATGACAAGTACATGCTTCATGGACATTTCATGATTTTGCATGATTTATAAGGCAATTTAAAGATTTTGTAGCTCTAACATCTTGATTTTATTTTAACAGCAAAATTATGACTAATCTATGATCTTTTAGAATTATAATTTTTTTGATTTAACAAAAATTATCAATCTAATGTCAGAATATAAATTTAGCATAAATTTAGACCATATTTTGTATGATTGTATAGAACATATGAGAAAACAATTGCATGTAATATTTTTAATAATAATTTTTAAAATATGATAAATTAGTAACTAGGTGTCAGCTTTGTGAAGTTATTCTAATTGAGATGAGGTTTTATTTTACAGCCCCTTTTATAGAGTTGAACATTTAATTATTACTCCAAATGATCAGAGTAAATTCTTTCAACCTGCTGTGAAAAATTTTAAATTACAAAACTTTACATGGGGACCCATATTTAGAAAAGACTTCTTAATCCAGGTAAGAATATTTTTAAAAAGTACAATAACATCTTGAATTTTTTACTTAGTATAATAGTTAGAAATAAATAAAGATACATGTACATTTGTATTAAAATTTTTTTTAATTAATGGAGAATCAGTATTAATGTGGAAAATATTTTCCACAAGGTAATTACCATTTTTAATGCCTTCAATGAAATTAGTCAAGCATTTGCTTTTCCTATTTTTTTTTTTTTTTTTAAATATATAAGAAATGTTTGTTTTAAATCTGTGTTCATGCAATGATATTCTATTATTGTATATGTCAGATACTTTGATATGCTGCACATGTCTTAAGTCTTATTTTGTGAGATCTAGCCTGGGGTACAGGGTAACTTATTACTCTTGTATCACTTAGTAGGCATCTAGTTCGTGAAACTAGTTCTCGGGTCGTCTACAAGAATGGCTTTTCCCAATTTAAGGAAATTCGTGTGCGGAGGGTCTTACAGATTAACTAAATTTAAAGCGGAATTTGGTGAAGGCGAATTCACCTTCTTCCTTACGTCAGGAGTCCCGACACCAGTTTATCAATTTATCATTACGCGGATAAACACGCGTATGAATATGATATAGATTTGATTCAGAGAGTTAACAAGAGACATTTCTTTAACAATAATAAAGAAAATTTAATAAACGAAAATAAATAAAATCATACAAAAATGGAATTACTTAAATATTCAAGACAATCGATTTAGAAAATGAATAAATCAAATTAAACGTGCCGAGAGAGAGAGCTCACAAGATCATTATAATCATACAACCTTTTAGTTGACTTTATCGTCTTCTGTATTTGATGAAAGTATTTCATTTATAAAGTTCTCTGACTTCGGTTCATGGAGAGGTCTTGATAGGCACAAAATGAAATATATCTTCCTTCTACTATTTAACTTATTATTATAGTTGATTTGTTTCGACTATAGGCGTTGATTTAGGGAGCTTCAATGGACCACGTCTATCTCATCTGGGATCCTCTGGTGTACTGCTAACTAAGGGTGTTGGCCTTAGGGAGCAAATATTTGGACTCCTTTCCACTCTCAGATCTAAGGACGTACTCCTTTACTTATGGAGACAATATAGGATGCTTCTCTCCTCTGTGAGAGCTCCTGACGTACTCCCCGAATTCTGCCAAGCTTTTGCTATATCTCTTGATTAGCGACCAATCAGCATATTTTTCTTCACTCACGTGAACGGATGAAAAGGGGAAATAATGAGGGGTCGTCAATTCCCAGTGTGGTGAGATTTATAACAGATAAGGGAAAAATAAAGGATGCTTCTACTTTCGTCAGAGGAAGTGGCTGTTTTATCAGTTTTCCCACGTTAGAAAACCGTTAATTTCTCACAAAAACAAAAGAATATTTTTCTACAAAATTTTAACTTAAATTTTAAATTATTAATTAGACCCAGGGGCTATTCGGATCTTACAATTTAAGTTTTGGTTATTATTTTTCTTAGTCTTATATTATTGGGTTTAACAAAGTTTTTGAATGTGTTAGGAAAAATTAAGACAATTTAAAAAAAATAAAATAAAATATATTTATTTAGTCAACAATGAGATTCTTATTACTTACAATTATCTTCATCCAATGTTCCACAAGTTTGATACAGTTTTCATAAACTTTTTTTCACTCGAAAATGATTATATAATATATTGTCTCCCTTCAAAATATCTTATTACAAAATCAGTTAAATGGTAAAAAATTAACTGAATAAACAGCAACTTTTCCTTGTCCATGAGTTCATTCTTTCATAGCTGATTATCTTCTTGTTTAAAAAATAAGTTAAATTAGACTTATTAATGAATTACAGAATTTAAATCAATTAAGATTAAATCTTAAGTGAAATTCATATTGTTTATCGTTCCTTGGATGTCTCTAAGATTCAGTTTATTTTTTTCCCTCTAGAGTAGAGTATGTTAATCTTGACTATTTGAGTATATTTTTTCTTATTTTTTATTCCATGCTCAAACTAATTAGTTAATTTGATTTTAAAAAATTTCATGTTGAATAAATGAAAACAAGAAGATACTAAGTCAGTGAATATGCTAAAACAATTCAATTGAAAAATTTTAGATCTGTTTTCTGTAGTGACATCTATTGATAAGTGCAAACACTTGTTTAACACAATATTATACTATTAATTTAATATATATATATAAGAATCGCCTGAAATCAGTTTCGCACTCTAATAAAAAGCCATAAAATTTTGTTAACCACCTTAAATCTCTAATGTTTTTAGCCATATTTAACCTTCTTCAGCAGAGACAAAATGAATGACTGTTGTGTTGGAATAGAATGAAAAAATTTAAAACATTCTAGAATAAGCAATTTAAATTTTTCATAACTTATAAGGTCCCATACTAATATTTGTTATATTCTGGAATGTTTTCATTTTTTCATTCTATTCAGATGCAACTATCATTTGTTTTGTTTTTGCTGAAGAAGTTGGTTAAAATCGGCTGAAAATGTTAGAAATTAGTGGTTAATGCAAATTTTTAAAAATATATTTTGTGTTTTACTATTCAGCATTACGTTCCTTTTAGTTGAAATCAGATTTTGGGTTTTCAGCTTCAAAACAAATTACTGCCAAATAAATATTAGATTTTTCTGAATATAGTATTTTTCAAATATTACCTGAGTGAGTGATATTGGTGTATGATGACAGTTAATATAAGATGTCTTTTGCCTGCATTTGGTTAGTTTACAAGGCCTCTCTGAACATTACTGAACTGTACAGGCACCAGTTGCTTTCCACTTTCAAATAACATTGGCAACAGTGGATTTGTCAGTTCCAAAAAGTGCTGAAATGACTGTGCTGATTTCTTGCTTAATTGGTACCCCATACAGGGGCATCTCATGCAATAATTTCAGATACAGGTTCACTGCAGATTATTCTGGAATCTTAGTCAGGGTTTATATAAACCAAACCAGAAGCTGAGTGTTAAGTATTTTGTAAAATTCCATCCAACATAATTTAAGTATACCCAGTCTGTTATTTAAATTAGGCATATGGCTTGCCTAGTTTAAATAACCATATGCCTAATGTCCATATGTAAGACACTGTAAATCATATAAAAAAAATAAAAGTTTTATTATAAGCATTGTAAGTGGTGTTTCTTTTAATGCATGTTTTATAAAAATTAGCAAAAGTATTTAAAATTTTTTAGGCATATGTGGAATTAGATAGATGAAAATCAAGACCAGATAAGGAAAGCATAAGTCTGGAGGTCCAGATTAACTAAATATGAACTTTCAGTCTGGACTGGAAATTAAAATATGAATAAAAATTCTAGCTTGGCATTTTAATGATAATTGAACAATTCCCCCCTCTTATACCTGTTTTAATTAATTTGAAGCTGAAAAGAAAGATTTATAGATGTAAGAGACATTGGATATAATGAAATCTAGTTGTGTAATAAAGACTATGATTTTTGTCTATAAATTTTTTGAATATTATCTTTTTCTCAACAGGTGTTGCAGCTTCAAAATGACATAGAAAATATTGTTGCTGAATTTGAAGATAAGAATATTACTTTAGAAGATATATGTTTGGCTCCATTATCTCCTATTAGCAAACACTGTGCTATTCAAAGCATATTTGCTTACTTTCAGAATGACTTAACAAAATTAATTAATTCACCTGACTATTTGAGTCATTTTCTAGAATGTTCAGTGTAAGTATTGAAACTAGTAGAAATCTTTAACATTTACACATGCATATATATATGTGTGATGCAAATGTAATCTATGAAAAGGTACTTTGTCAGAAAAGTAAATTTAAATTTCACTATAGAGCAAAAAACACTATCTAAACGTGGCTGAATAGACTATAAACATCATTTTATATATACATCTTAGGTTGTATAATAAAATGTATGTAGTTTGAGTATATAGTTAGTTGGGTTTTCTGAATTAATGTATCTTTTTATAGTTCTTGCATTTTTATATAAATATATATTAATCTGATTATATAAAATTTATATGTTAAAATTATAATACAGAAACAAATAAAGAAGTTTTAAAAATTTACTAAAACATTCTATTTTTAATATAAATAATTTGTAACAGGTAATTAATAAAGGAAACACTCTAATTCTAAATTCTTTCTATAATTAACTTCTTCCTATATCAAACAATTGACAATAGCCATACATACATACATACATACATACATACATACATACATACATACATGGTTTATTACACTGTGTAACAAAATAATTTTAAAATCTGGTAAAATTAGTTTTATTTTGAACTCCTGCCATTCATGTTGCAGTACACTATATTGAAAATATCTGAGCACAAATTACTCCAGCTAATGAGCATTACTATCTTCAACAATCTACAATTAAAGATGGTTTTGAATAGATGGGAAATTGTCACATCCTAGTTGGTGCAATTTCTTGCCAATTGGGCTAGTTTTTTAGCGATTTGTTGCAGCTTTTATGTCAGTGCATAACTTTTTTTCTTATTAAAAATGTTTATTTCAAACTTTCTATTATCTATCTACAGATTTCTGACTAAAAGTTAATGCCTCTTTGGTATCTAAAATTTCAGCTATTAATTTTATCTTTTCTTTTCCAGTGGTATTTTGCAACTTTTTGATAAGCATTCTCATGATTCTTGACTGATTTCTGGCAACACTGCATTATACAACATTATAAACTTTTTATAAAGGAAATGTAAAGAAATTGAATAAGTGTCCTATACTTTTAGTTTTGCCCAAGTTTTAGGAAAGTTTATTTCTAAATCATTTTGTATTTGCAAAGTTTTAACTGATCATTTGTTGTTGTTAATATATCACTCTCAAAATATTGTTAATTAGAAAATTTCCTGTAATTTATAAAACTTTGTTTTTTATAATATAACTAGCTGCAAGTTTTTATTTGTTTGTACATTTGTATGTAACACAATTTTTTTTATATATATAAAAGACTGTTTTTCTAAGTAATCTAGAATCTAACTGCAAGGACCCGCTTCACTGGGTTTTTATTTGTGGGCAAAAAGTAACGATAGTGAAGATTAAGATAATTACATTATAGCCAATCTTATCCATTTTCACAGAATGCAAGAATATAGGGACACACACGTCCATTTATCCATATATATATATAGATATATATAGATTCAGTGGTGTCCAACTATAGTTTGCATATGGCACACATTACTCTGGCCCACAAATATATTTAATACATCATTTATAAGGACCTTGAATAAGTTCTCGCTGTTTTTTTGTGAAAATTAACACTTTATTTTAAAAAAGTTGTAATAAACACGTCACTGAAAGTATTGTCCATCGCTAGCCACTACTTTCTCCCATCGTTCTGGCAGCATTTGAATTCCACGTCGGAAAAACGACACATCTTTTGAGGTTATCCAAGAATCAACCCATTTTTTGGCATCTTCATAAGAATGGAAGTGCTGCTCAGCCAGGCCATGTGCCATCGATCGGAACAAGTGATAATCCGAAGGGGTGATGTCTGGTGAATACGGCGGGTGGGGTAGGACTTCCCATTTAAGCGTTTCAAAGTACGTTTTCACTGGTTGTGCAACATGTGGCCGAGCATTGTCATGTTGCAAAATCACTTTGTCGTGTCTCTGCTCATATAGCGGCCGTTTTTCCTTCAATGCTTGGCTCAAACGCATCAATTGTAGTCGATAGCGATCTCCCGTGATAGTTTCGTTTGGTTTGAGCAGCTCGTAATAAACTACACCTAGCTGATCCCACCAAATGCAGAGCAGAAGCTTCGAACCATGGATATTCGGCCTTGCTGACGATGTTGATGCATGACCGGGCTTACCCCACGATTTTCTACGCTTAGGGTTATCGTAGTGTATCCATTTTTCGTCACCCGTCACGATACGATGCAGAAAACCTTTCCTTTTCTGCCGTTGAAGCAGCTGTTCACATGTGAAAAGACGCCGTTCGACATCTCTCGGCTTCAACTCGTACGGCACCCAATGTCCTTGCTTTTGAATCATTCCTAATCCTTTTAAACGTTTCGAAACTGTTGTGTGATCAACTCCTAATGATTCTGCAAGTTCAGCTAGCGTCTGACATGAGTCTTCATGAAGTAATGCCTCTAATTCCTTGTCTTCAAACTTTTTTGGTGCACCAGATCGTTCTTTATCTTCAACATCAAAATCATTATTTTTGAAGCGTCTAAACCAATCTCTGCATGTTGTTTCCGACAGAGCATGGTCGCCGTAAGTCTCAACAAGAATTCTGTGTGTTTCTGCTGCAGATTTTTTTTGAATAAAATAGTGCAATAAAATTCCCCGCAAATACTCTTTTTTTGGCACGAAACTAGACATGTTTAACACAATGAAAAAATAAGTTGTTTACACTTTGGTGAAATGATATACAGTAAAACCTGTCTATGGCGACCACCCACGGTTCTTTCAAAAAGTGGTCATTTAATACAGGTAACTTATTATGTAAATTGAAAATTCCGTGCCAGAAATTTTTGCCCGTTTTGACAGGTGCCCGTCCAATGCAGGTGGTCGCCTAAACAGTTTTCACTGTATACTGAATTTCAAGGTCGCTTATTGTACTTCCTTACAGATGCGTCACCATCTAAAAATAACACACGTGGTTCTGGTAACGCCATCTGTTGGAAAACAGCGAGAACTTATTCAAGGTCCTTATATAAATGATAGAAGTGTGCTACTTTTTGTATATATGGTATACACAAAATATTTGTGACCTGCCAGTTCAAAAGTTGGGCACCACAATATAGTGCAAGTCAGTGATTCTCAATTAGTATATCATGATTTTTTCATAGGTATGCTACAAAATTTCAAAAACAAAATATGTAAAATATACAAATAATTAGCATTTTTATATTTTTTTATTAAAACAAGAAATCAACATCAATATTGTATTTTATTTATACATAATGCTGCAAAAAATCGTTTTTAGTATTGATCTTAAGTTGGTATTTCAGCAAAAATTTCAAATTGTGAAGTGTACAATAGCTGCAGAGTTGAATTACTGTTCTGTATATTTTTGCCAGTGTTTTTTCATTATTTTGGAACAATTTTATAATGAAAATTTTATAAACTTTTCAGTAAAATAAAAAGTAAAAATAAAATGGAACTATGACTAATAAAATCTTATTTAAAAAATATTACTAAAATATGTATTTCTATATAACAATTTAAGAATAACTTGTGTTGAATCCTAATTGAATGGTATTTTGTACTGCAATAAGTTTCTGTTTAGCAATACATTTTTTTACTGCACTTCTACAGAAAGCAAAACACCGTGTATTTTACAATGATGATATAATGCAGTAAATTAAGTTTTAATAATTTTAACTTATTGTTTTGTTTCGGAATTAAAATGTGATATTTTCTTAATACAGTGATTCCATCATGAATGCTATCTGTAGTACAGAAGCATTGCTTTAAAATGTATAAAAAAGGCTCTGGAAATAGTTGCCAACATTACCTATTTTGTGACATTTATTGAGTTTTCTAACTTATTATTTAAGAAAACTTGATAAAATTGATTTTAAAAATTTTTTCTCTCATGAAAAAAACTTGCCTTGATTTTGAAATTGAATTTTGCCTTAGAATTAGAGAGATATGGTATATAAAATGCACAGATAAGCATTGGTGAATATTATTTTGATTTAAAATCTTGCATCAATGTCACAGTATATTTTAAGTAATTTTGTTAGCATTTTAAAAGACAACCTTACTCTGTAAAACTATAAATTTACTTCTTTTTTATTATTTTTGGAGTTTTTTCATTTTTATTTTCAGAAGTCTATTTTTATCTCATCTAACTATTGGGTTGTTCAGAAAGTAATTTCGTTTTTTTATTACTAGAGGAATTAGGTGTATTTTTACCAGCCAATTTCATTTTAAACTAATTTTCATTATATACTTTGATAGCTGACATTTTAAGACTTATTTGTAAAAAATTTTGTTTGACTCTGTACAATTGTTGTTGTTGTTGTTGTTGTTTTTTTTCCAATTAAATATGGAAAATCAAAAGCATCACTTTCGGCATATTTTGCTTTTTTATTACCAAAAAATCAAAATGCTGTTCAAGCAAGAAAAAAATTGTGGTACATGTATGGAGATGATGTGTTGAGAGAAAGACAGTGCCAAAACTGGTTTACAAAATTTTGTTATGGCAATTGAAATATTGAAGATGCACCACATTCTGGATGGCCAGTTGAAGCCAATGAAAACAAAATAAAGGTACTGATTGAAGCAAACTGCCAAATAACAACACATGAAATCACTAAGAGATAAACCGTTCAATTCAACAAATTTAATGATTACTTGAAACGAATTGGTTTTGTTTCAATGCTCGATATATGAGTTCCACATGTTCTTAAAGAGAGATGCTCCTCTCTTTGGTGGGATTTTATGGGAATATATATATATATATATATATATTTTTTTTTTAGCTTTAACCAGACAATTTAACAGTTGATTCGAAAGTGTACTGCCCTCGAGTAAACAAATTGAGCAATAACATCAAACAGAAAAAATCAGAATTGACCAACAAAAAAGATGTAGTGTTTTACAATGATAATGCCAAATTTCACACAAGTTTGGTAACTCATCAGAAACTGTTACAGCTTAGATGGGATTGCTATCATATCAACCATATTTACCAAATCAGACACCCTCAGATTATTACTTGTTCTAGTCTATACAAAATTTTTTAAACTGTAAGACGTTTACTTGAAATGAAAATGTCAAAAATCAGTTGGATCAGTTTTTTTGTAATCAAATATCAAAACTTTTTTGAACGTGGAATTATGTTACTACAGAAACGATGGCAACAGGTATTTGACCAAAATGGTCGATATATAATTCAATAAAATATTTATTTATTATAAAAATATTGTGTTTTTATCCACAGAAAAAAAACCAAAATTACTTTCCAAACAACCCCATATATAAAGTTGAAAAACCGGATTCTTTTTTCTTTCTTTCTGTCACTGTATGCCAAAAATGGCCACTAGGGGCACCCCTAGCTATTATTTAAATTAACAATAAATTCAGTATATTATTATTTGATGTGGATTTTTGCATTTTTGGCTGTGTTTTAGTAGAGTACGCCATGAGAAATTCAATATATTATTATTTTTATTTGTAGTAGGAATTTATTTATTTATAGCATGGAATGAGACCACTGCTGCTAGAACACCCACTAGAGGGTGTCCCGGGCTACTAAAATAGAAGGATTAGAAGTACAAAATAATCTAATAATCTTAATCTTTGTTGTTGTTTTTTGCCCAGGCAATGCCAAGCTCATCTGCTGGTCTTAGCTAAATTTATTGAATTAAATAATATATGAAATAAATGTAATCTTTAAAAAGAAATTATTTGAACTGTAATTATTTTATATTGTGACCATTTTGAAATAATTAAATCTAAAAATAAATTATTAAATAATTTTTTATAAAATTATAGAAACAAAGCTCTGCCTGACTGTTTTGCTCCATATGGTGGACCATTACAATCTGTAGAAGCTGCTTTAGGAGGTTTTCAAGATACTCAATATAATACTGCAGAGGCAATTGTAATTACTATTCCTGTGAAGAATTTTTATGAGAAAGATTTGAATATGAAAGCTTTGGCCTGGGAGAAAAAGTAAGTTTTTATGTGCTTTTTATTAACTTATTGTCTGTCCAGATAAAATCTTGTAACTCAATTTTTGCCCGCTTACCATTTTCAGACTTAGTTGAAACTTTTCATGCATATATATTCTCAATGATAATACATTTTTTTTTCTTTTTAAATTAAAATTTGTAAACAATTTTAGCATTACTATAAAGCATGTACAGTCAACCCCCTATAACACTGTTGATTATTCCATTTTATACGAATTCCATGTTGTACGAATCATTTAGATTCTACAAATACATGAGCCGTTTACAGCCCGGCACACATATTTGTAAAATCTAAGTGACTCGTACAACATGGAATTCATATAAAACGGAATAATCAACAGTGTTATAGGGGGGTCGACTTGTACAGTACAGTATATTTATATAATAAAGTTATTCATTTTTCTGAGCATTCTTTTTTAAACAGCACTATAGAGGATATAGAGTACACTGTAGAACAGCACTGTAGCCTGCATTCACGGATTCCCTCACTCTGGTTCATTGTATTGAATTGAAACAGTCAAATATTTTTGAACTCCACCATTTTTCTTCTCTTCACTTACTCTCTACTATCCTCTCACCTGCTCTGACTCTCCTTCACACTCATCCTTCTTTCATTTTTCTGCTTTTTCTCCCCCCCTTTTTTTTCTACCCTTGTTTAGCTACCTTCTCCCTTTTTACAATCCTTTGTTTATTACTTTATGGCTGCTTGTGAAGCGATTGGATATGTGCCAACAAGACCATAGTTGGGGGAGAGTAGGTTTAATATCACTATAAGCAAAGTAAAGATGACCAAATCTTGGATAGAAGCCATACACTGCCTATCGGAAGTAAATGATAGCTGCATCTTATTGCATTGCTGATTAGCTATTTGTAGTATTTCAATTATAAATTATGTAGTTACCATTCTGTTTTATAGTAAATGTTGCTCTTACTTTACTGGTACTCTGACTGACTAGGTAAACAGTTGTTTAACTTCTGTAATACGCTTCTTGTCTAGTCTTGTGTTCAATTATACTAGCGCTATGATGGCTTTTCCTTTTTCTCTAGACTTATTACACCATCAGTCAGAAAGAGGACAAACTTTGGAAAATCATATTTTTATTTCCCCCGAGGAGTTATTTAACTCTTGACTTCATGAATGTACCCTAAGTTTTCAGTTGCTTGTTCAAGGTTAAGTTGGGAATTACACCTACGTAGTATAATATACAGAGATTGTAATAGTTGGAAAACTTACAAAAGTACTATATGTGTAAGTAGTATGCATAGAGTTTATAAAAAGAAATTGTGTAAGGGAGTGCAATAAGGGTTCACAAGAGCCACATACAGCTTGTGATCCACAATTAAGCCAAATAGAACTCAAAATTTGAGAATTGATGTTTATGAAGTGTTAGTTGGTCCTAATTATTCACAAACATGGGGGAATCAGTGTATATTAAACAGTGTGCACAAAATAACTTTTTTTGCGTTAAGGATAAGGCATAAATTTTAATCAAAATATTAAGATTTAGTTGATATTAATACTAATATCAACTAAATAGAACAAAATCTACCAGTGGCAGCAATAATGATAATTTTTTTTTTAAGTATTAAAAGTATTTTTTTATGTTAATATTTAATATGGGTTTGAGTCTGTCGCTTAGGTTTACTTTACTAGCTGTTATATATACATAACAAAGGAAAGTATTTGAATCATGTCAAATTTGACCCTCTGGGTTTTTGCAAGTCTCCATATTTTGAGATTTTCTGAACCTGAAAAAGTAATTTTTATTTACACTTTTTTGTGTGTCTATGTTGGTGTCTACTTTACTATCTCAGGATGGAGTAAAGATTAAGAAACAGATATAAAAATACAGAAGAAACAAAGTTTTCCTTTAATCAAGATCAAAAACAGTCTTCCTTTGCAGAGATGACCTTTTATTAAGGTTAAAGATTATGTATGCCTCTGCAAAATTATGTAAAACGGTTTTAAAAAGTTTACTGAAAAAGTTATCATCTGCTTTTTTAATTGAAATTAAGAAATAAACTTTGGCATGGTAACGTGTGTATAAGGGACATTGATGATGATAAGTTTTGGTGATTAAAAGTCGAATGGTTGGGAGACAGGAATCGTGTTATATCTTTAGAGAGATCAGACTTAATGAAATTTTATTTATTGTTAGCATTTACATATTTTTTATATAACTTGTTATTAATTTCAAAATTATGCTTTATATCATTTTATTATAAACATTTTTTATAACAAAATCTCATAATAGATAATAAATAAATAAAATTGTGTGGTGTTATGATTAATAATTAAAAAGTGATTTTCAAAATATTTTCACTTTTTTTGGTGTATTTGGTTATTTGTATTGTGTTATGCTATTTGTCGATTTTTAACAATTCCAGCAATTTTTCTTTCTTGACAGCTTTTGGACACCCCCTATGTTTTAGTATCCTTTAGTTCAAAATTTTCCAAACTGAACTTTTTAAACCACATTTGACACATTCGAAGTTTCGGAGTGTCTTCCCTATACAAATTATGAATATTTTTAACTGTTTGTATGGCATTATTTCCTTTCTGAAATTCACAAAGCATATGCCTGATACACTTTTTATCTGAAGACATTACAGCTCGATTTTATTCAAACAAAATGTTAGTAAAAAGTTTAAAATAAGCTTCTAAACAAAGAATACAATCTGTCATTAGCAATAATGTTTTAAATTTTCCAAATGATAATTAAATCTATGTTAAGCAAGGACAGCTGTTAAAAAATATGCATAAACGTTCTGTCTGACCCAATATGTATTTACTATGACGGGTGCAGAAGCAACTAAGTCTAAGAGGAAAGTTGAAATAACAATGAATATGATAAAAAACGAATTTATTGTGAAGCATGAAAGCAGTACATGTGTGGGAGTCTGGCTGCCATGTTTAAGATGTCGAAGTCGACAGTGTGCCACCAGTAAATGCAATTTTCAGTTTATTATGCAGTATTTACATATTTTATTTATCATTTCCATGTTTTAATTTAATTCTGCTATTTTACCTTAAATTATGTGTATTTGCTGTTTTAGGTTTATCAAAATGGATATCATTTAGGGTCTAGGAATGGATTGACTTAGAATAATTCTAATGGTAAAAATTGATTTGGACTTTAAATGNTATTTATTATGATTAATAATGTAAAAATTATTTTTTTTTAAATATAATCTCCTTATTGCAAGTCAAGTTATGCATCTTATTGCTGGATTTTTTTTACAGACAATAAATGCTGACATGATAAAATGAATGAATGACTTTTAAATAGTTCTAAGTTGTTGTTGTAGAAAAATAGGATTAATAGCGACTTATCAGTGTTCAAGATATAAATTCAAGCAAGAGTGTAATATCAAAAATTAAAGCATGAATTAACATATAGAAAATGAATATTGAGAGAATTGAAAGATGATGCATACAGTATAATACAAATAAGATAAAAGCAAAAAAGGAAATGTATGACAATTTTTAATTATTATATAAATAGATTTGTCATAAATATATTCAATGCTTATAGTATTGAAACATATTTGATTACTATTTTCTCAATGTTAAAAAAAAATGTTTTAGTGAAAATGAGATTCTATAGCCACTCCTCTTTTAACATTCCACCTGTTTGGTTGTAAGTCAGAGCTGTCATTAGTTCTCTAACACTGTGAATTCCCTTTCATAGTTTTAGTCTTATTTTTGTAGTAGGTCAGTATTTACTACATAAAGTGTTCATAATCTCCAAGATTACATATTTCATTTATAAATATGGAATGAACAATACAGGACAAGATGTCAATGAAAAGAAAGATCATGACTTCACCTGCAGGAAGTGTTAAGATAAGAATTGAAGAAATGGCAACAGAGTTGGAAACGTGGCCACACTTGGAAGAGGAAAGAATAGAAGTTCACTAAAAAGGGATTAGCTAGTATGTTCTTGAAATTGAATGTGGCTATATTAGAACTAGTGAGTATGAATTTGAATGTCGAGTGGTTCACAAAAGTGGAATGGTAATGATGATGATGTAAAATTTATGAAGAAAAAGGGAGATTTAAAAAGCAGATCACACTAGTGAGATTCTCAAAAGCTACACTCAGGACTCTTACTCTTACAAGTACTTCCATTTCTTTGCATCATCATCTTTACCTGGATCCACTCCAGCTCCTGATCATTTTGCTGATAATTCCAATGGTGACATTGATGCTCTGGAACCATTTTGGCTTTAACCCTTTGAAGAATTCAATGACTAAAATATTAATCTGAATGACTTTTTTAAAATGAATAATCTCTAAGTTTTTTGGTACAGTACATTTTAACAATTTTTGTTGATTGTATTTTTGTGTTCTATAAGAGATGCAAATTAAGCAAAGTTTTCAAGTAGGTGTTTCCTTTAGACTATTAATTGTTTTATTTATCCTTGATAAAAAAACTCCTTATTTATCAATCAATTTACTTAACAACCTACATGTATGAGCAGAATTCTGTTGTTAAGTGAGGGCTGTCTGTAATAATTTTTATTGAAAATTTGAAAATAGAATATAATTGTTTGGTTGACAAATAATTTTTTCTTTATTTACATATTAAGTTAACTTTTAATTTTTTTATATATATATAACTATTTTTTTTTTTATTATGTAGGTTTCTTGAGTACATGAAAAAGTATAATAATTCAAATATGACTGTTGCATACAAGGCAGAGGTATATATCTTAAATTATTTTAAAATTAAAAAATAATATCTATATTGAGATAAGTGTTAAAATTTTTAAAATTTTTGTTATTCAATAAAAGATTTTTGTAGATCATCAGTAAAATAATTATTATTTCATTGTTTTTAAACATTAGTGCAAAAACATCAAAATTGTATACAGTAATTATATTAACACTTTTGAGATGCCTCTTGTGGAAATTAACGGGATGACTTAAATGTGTCTGCTTGTATTTCCAAAGATTTGTTAGATAATATAATGCCAAGCTCCATCTGGTGACAAAACTTAATTGAATTTTTTTTGGTCATAGTTATTACCATTATTATTAAATAATTTAATGTTTAGTTCTTTTAAAATGTAAGTACAGATACAGGAAAACATGATGATAAATAGCAAGGTTGTGGCCGACATTTTCATTGCAAAAATATGAATGTTGGATATTCAGCATTGCCATCCTGTAAGCCTAGTAAGTTTGACAATGTCAGTTGGAATGCCAAGCATGATTCCACTGACGTTCCAAATGCCATTATCAAACTTCTAGGCTTACAGGATGGCGATGCTGAATGTCCAAGTTCACATTTTCGCAATGAAAATGTTGGCCACAACTCGCTATTATTGCAGTTTATAGATAAATTGAATCTGATGCATTAATCATCATCAAATCCTTACTTATTATATATCAACTTACGGGGAAGAAAGGTTCTTTAATATAGAGTAATAATAATAAAAACCATAGATATTTATTTGTTTTTGATCAGTCTACATAAACATGATACCTAAAAAAAAAATTGGTCCCAAAAGTGTTAGAAAAAACTACTAATACAAATTTTAGTAAAACTAATCCAAATAAAGTAAAAATTATTAGTGTAAAACATAATTTTAAAAATAATACTCAATTTTTGCTAAAATGGATTTAAAATATGATCTATTATGAAAGACTTATTCTAAGTAAACTTGACCATTGAAATGAAAAACTGGAATAACTGTTCCTTTACAATTATTTACATAACAATATTTTTATAAATGCTAATGTTTTACATGGTGAAGAATATAAAGAAACTGGCCTAATTATAGTTTCAATTCAGCAAAAATATTCAATATGTCTTTTAATACTAATTTTTAGTCATAAACTGTTCATTTAAAGACTTGAAATTAATTCAATGTATTTTTAAGTACCTTAAATTTGTATAAAATGTTGATTAAATATTGTATATGATGATTGAAAAATTGTACAATTTTTTGATTTGCATAATGTAATCAAAGTTGTTCTCTAATAATTAGATTTCAGTTACTTTGACATTTGCACAAAATGTGTAAATATGAAATTTAAAACTTGAATAAAATATTGGTGGACTATAATCTGTAGCTAATGAATAAGTCTGTGAAGTTTTATAAATATGGAATTATAGTTTTCTCGGATTGTTTTTCAGCATGCCAAGTATTTATTGTCAGTTAAATAATTTCTTTAGTTTTTGCTTGCTAAATCTGAACAAATATTTCATTTTTTTTAATTATGTTATTTTTATATGTATATATTAATTTCTTTTTAAAACTATTTTTAAAAAGTTTTAATTTAGGATTGAAATATAACAACAAATATATGTAAACACAAAACAGGAAGACACTTTTTTAACATTTGAAATCAGTTGATGATTCATCTTTTAATTAGAATTTAAAATTGACATCAAACAACAGTATCAGTCTAATCAAGATAATTGTAGAAATTTTATTTTTATGTTTTTATCTTACATTTATAACAAAATTTTAAATATCACTGCAGTTTGAAAATGCTTTGATCTGTCATGACTTACAAGACTTGAGCTTTTACTATATTCAGTCAATTAGTTTGAAAGCATAAAGATTGGTCTACACTACCATTTATAAGCATCTGATTACCTGAAATAATTTGTGTGTGTGTTTGAGTTATTTTTCAGGTTTTACCTTTAGATTTAGAGGTTTTTATTGTCTAGATGCAAATTTTGAGGTATTTTTAGAAGCTTGTTTCTAAGGGCAATTATTTCTATATGTTATAAAAAAAAGTTTTATGTTGTAACTTAATAAATTTAAAACTGAAAGTAAAACTTTCTTTAGCATAACTTTACTTTATTGTCATTGGTTAAATGAAAAAATAGTGCTTAGATTGTAATCATGATTTTTAGGTTTAGGGTTATCTCCCAAATGTTAGGGAATTTAGATATAAATTAGAGAAGAGAAGAATCTGTTTTGAAAGTTAAATATGAATTGAAATTAAGAAACAATACTTGCTTCAAAACCAAAGGCAAGAAAAATCAGCAGCATGTGCTGGGTTGTGTGAATGCAAAATTGAGATGTTAATCATTTAAATGTTTGATGTTTTGAATGGTACAGTAGTTGTACTTACTATTATTATTTAGGTTGTTTACATATTTTTTGAAACTGTCAACAATTTATAGACCTTTTTTTAGAGGTATTTAGAGGTAAGCGTTTACACAAAATAGTAACACTGGTGTTTATATATAATTATATATTAGAATTAAATATTTAACAGTTTAATCAATATTTTTATATACTTTTTATTATATTTGATAATGTTTATCTTATTAGTGTGTAGAAAGCAAAAGTATTTTATAATGCTTAAATTTACTCATATTTTTATTTTTATTAAAGCGATCAATAGAAGATGAATTGGAAAGAGGAAGTCATTCTGATATTTTGACTGTTGCGATCAGTTACATCATTATGTTTGTATATATAGCAGTAGCACTTGGTGAAGTGAACAGTTGCAGTCGTATTTTAGTAAGTTTTAGTATTTTGTCATATTTGCATTTTGAATTTTTGCTTTACTAATAAAGTTATTGTATACTTATATAGACAATCTATATAAAATTGAAATTTTAACTATTTAGTTTTTAAAAAATTAATTAGTTAAAATAAACACATAAATAGGTGTTATAACACACACAAGCAATCACAAACATTCTAGAAATAATTTTAATACATTTACATCATGTTACAGAAAGCTGTGATATTTAATACATGAGTCAGTAACTTAAACATAGTACATAAATTATCAAATTGATTTTCTTTTAGTAGGTATGCCTTGATTTTATTCAACAGAGCACTTTGACTACCCATTGTTTTTTCATATTTTTCATTGGGTCAGCCAACTTGGAAGTAACACTTTCAAATTTACCTCACCATAATAAATGAAATGGTGTATTGATAAACTAAGAATTTTTTTTTATTAGGAACCTGACTTATAAGAAAAAACAAGATGTTATACTTCATTAAATTTATTCTTTCAGTATCTAGAAATTTAAGCAAGCCAAAATATCAGTAAATGAGAAAATGCACCTTAAAAAATAAATGTACTTTGTAATTTTAAGTCAGGTTCCTAATATATAAGTATTTATTTGTTGATTTATTTTTATTAGCATATTTTTAAATAAATTTTTATTATTCAATATTTGTAAAAATGTTCTACAGCAGTGTTTTTCAACCTTCTTGAATACGCGACCCCTTTACAAGTTAAAAAAAATTCTGGCTAACCCCCAGGACCATATTAAAACTATATCTGTGATTTTAAAGACGACGTATTTAATTTTCTTTCTGTTGAGGCCTAAATATCGATAAAAAAACAATTGTACTTTAAAATAAAAACGCAAAGCCTTCTCATTGAAATTGTAGTTTTATTTATTTATTGTAGTGTAGGACCTACAAACACTTGTCTTTTTCTTTTACCCGCGACCCTCAGGTTGAAAAACACTGTTCTATAGTATACATTGTTTTATGTTGGCAGGGTTGCTTGTCAGAATTTACAGAAAATTTTATTTTAAATTTTGTGTAAATTTGTTCTTCGCCCAATATAGTTCCAGATGATTGCTTAAACACTTACACAATAATTTACAGTGAATAGAAAAAATTAAAATGTGTTCAAAGTGTTTTATTTGTATTTTTACTATAATGAATAACTTTCATAGTTCAGCATTCCTAATGTACAAAGTAAATTTTTTTTAATAACATGTCAAATACACTACTAGAATAACTAAATGTACATAATTCTCCTGTTGTAGTTTGTTGTTATGTATTGGTAAAAGTTTTACTTTTTCATACTGTTCACAAAGCTTTTTTTTTTCTCAAAAGTAAGCTATCGAAAATTGCTTTTAATTTTTATACCATTACTTTTTCTTCACAATTGACTATTTTATTATAAAATTTGTGTGTGCATTAACAGAATTGTTCCTATGCATCTGAGGGTAAACCTGACCATTTGCCATGCACTAAAACATGAGTATGCATATATTAGTCCTGCATAAAATAACCCTACTGTAACTGTTTACATTTTGAAATTCCTAATTTGGTAGAATTTGTTCAATAAAAATGTTCCATTTTATTTAGACCTGAAGATGATCAGTACCAGATCAAAAGTATTTGTCCATTTTTCTGCTGGTTTAAATTTAGTTGGCTTTAATTTTGTTATTATTCTATTAACATTTTTACAAGTTACAATTATTTTCTGTTTGCAAGAGATTTTATCTACAAATCATTATTAGATTTTTTTCTCTTTTATACTGAACTAAATTTATAAGAATGATTTGTAAGAAGTATTACTTTTTAGTAGTTAAAAATCTTTTTTATGAAGTTATGTAATTTTACACGTATGAAATGAATAAAAGCCGCACTTTAGGAAATATTACTAAATATAGTTAAATCATCAATAACAGTTATCTCTAAATAGCAAACAATTTTTTCCAGGAACATTTCTTTTTGAACAAAAATACATACAAAATAATCTCGAAACAGCAGTCACTCCCAACAAACTGCTTAGCCACTAAAAATTATATTCTTAATCTCTTAAGAATGGCCACTGTCCTCAAAATGATGCACAGAAAATTATTAATGAGCTGGATAGTTTGGCTACTGGCTTTGTGTGATTGGCAGTAAAAATTGACATATATGCAATTTTTACTGCCAATCAAATTAATCCTTAATGAATTAATTATGTTTGCAGTTGTAGACAAATGCAAAAATAACTTTTGTATAAAAATCCTTCTCAAATGTGCAGAGAAGTACCAAGAACACAGATACATATCAATCTTTTCTGTAGACTAAAACTTTTATTAAAATATGAACAAAACAACAGGTTCTTCTGCCATCATTGATAGTCTTTGATGTCAAAATTTTTAAATTATCTTAATTTTAGGTGTTTAAGAATTTGAAGAAATTTTTAAATTTTTGCTGCCAGCAGAGAATGCTATTCTAACACATTTTAACATAAGTTGTAGCCTATACTAAAGATCTGTGTGTTTTTAGGAGTTTTCTGCATGTCACAGATACTTTGTAAAAAAAAATTATACAAAAAATTTTAATGTTAAAAGTAATAAATTAATTTTTCTTTCAATTTATGTGTGCACCTGTACTTGAGCAATTTTATCTAACCTCTCAAAAAAGATCACTTTTCATGTTCCTGTCAGTGGTTATTGTTCAGAGGTTAAAAAACAATAATACTTAAAGTAATAAAATGTAATAATAATGTAAAGTGTAATAAACAAGTAATCTAAATCAAGATTTAGATTACTTGTTTATTTTTTAAATTTAATTTAGTATGTAGATTTTAGTTAGTTTAATATTATGAATTTCAAATATTTTATTCATAAGAATATGAAATTTGAAAAAGTTCTAAATTAAAAGTTACTGCTAGAATAACTTTTATATCAATAGGAATGTTTTAAACAAAAATGTATTACTTAGAACATTTTTGTTTATATTTTCATTTAATAATGGCAGCATGTAATCAGTTTTCTGGATTAAACAGTAACTTTGTTTTGTTAATTATTTTTTTATAAAATTTGGTATAGAAGAAATTAAAAAAAAAAAATTACTTCCATACCAAATTTTACATAAAAAAAAATAACCAACTTCATTTGATAATTTTTATATTATTTTTATCATTTTAATTTTTTTTCCAGAACTTTCACATTGTTAAAAAAAACTTTATTTCTGTGAAGTGACAAAAGAAAATTTAAATTTAAACTATTTTTTTAAATTTTCATTTTTGTGAATATTTTGACTGGAATTTTCTTAATATTTGACTGAAAATTTAATTATACTGTAATTGATCTGTCAGTCACATAGGCATGCATATTTATTATGAATAAAATATCTTAAAATTAATAGCTTTTTTATTTTTTAATAGCAGAATTGTTTAAAATTGTTTTCATTTTGGTTATTTCAAAGAATTGTAGTTTTATTTATTGAGCAAACTTTAANCTACATCCATCATGTTTAAGATGATTATTAAGTGAAATGGAGAATAACACTGCTGGCATAAGTCTTTCACAGGAAAAGTATTTAAAGGAAAAATGTGAACTCCTAGAAGATCATGAAAAAGTTGTATGCCTATTACTGGATGAAGTTTGTGACTCCTAAACTAAACTACAAAGGTGGCAAAATAAAAGGAATTGTATTACATAAGGACAGGGAACTTGAAGCTGCCACTACAATACAAGTTTTTGTTAACTCATGTTTGTCTGGAAATTAAGATGCTGTTGCTTTATTTCCTGTGAAGAATTTAAATAGTAGTTTGTGGTTTAAGATGACTATGGAAGTACTTAATGTAATGGAAAATTATGGCTATATATATCTATGCCTTATATCAGATAACAATAGTGAGTAAAGGAATATTTCAGCACATGGGTGGAGGATCTTTAACTTAGATACATTTAGGTGTAAAAATTTATTGTACTGTAAAAGATAAATACGGTGAACCTCTATTACTGGACACTCCTGAATAGCAGACACCTCTTCTTAATGGACATTTTTACATTCCCCAGACCCTTCAAATAGGACATATATTATATTTACCTCTTAACTAGCAGACACACTAAATAATGACGCCATCATCCATAACTTCTCTTATGAAAACACAATGCCCTGTCTTTAATATTCTGAAGTAATTAATTACATACAAAATATTTTAAAACTTAAATAATCAGTTCAAATACTCTTTCAGAGGAAGAATTTTGACTGTAGGCATTGAATAAAGACTGGCTTAAAAGAGAAATAGGGGAGGAGGGTAGGTTATGAAAAGCCAAACAAGATTTGTTATCTGTTAGAGTGTGTTAATCTGGTTAAGTTGTCAATCACTATTTATCATCATACATATTAATGTTATTAAACTTTTGTCTTATTGTTGGAATTAAGCTTATTGTACCAAGAAACCATAAACTTTTCTGAAGTTATTCATTCATTCAACAAAATCCTTAGTACAGTAGTAATGAAAAAGAAACAGTTTTAACAGCATATATTGAAAGTTCAAAGATCATGTTACAAAGGTGATTTGCCAACCACTTTAAAATGTAGGATGATATTTGGTTTTATTGCATTTATGATCTTAACAGCTTTGTCGTGGCTAAAGTAACTTTTTAATAAATCATTTATTGAAAAAAGCAAAAATGTTCGAAAAATTACACCTACTTTATAACTATAAAGTAGAAAAATCATAATAAATTTTTATTAGTCACTTAACCATAAATGATGTTATAAATGCAAAAATTTACTGAATACATTTCTTACCTCTTGAAGTGGCTAGCAAATTGCCTTCGTAAAACTTGACATTCAAACTCTTATCTCCTAAACCCTTCTATTCATAATAATGGTTTCATTTTTCTTTTTGTTACTTCTGCTCAGGTCGTTTTTGATGAATTAATAATCAATCAACATATACACTTTGTTGTAATTTTTGTGTTTCATTTAATTAAAATATTCTATACAATTGTTTGCTATTTAGAATTGAATTAAAATCTGATTTTTACAGCTGAAAAGATAAATATATTGTGTATGTATGTTATGGACCAAGTGATTAATAGGGCATTAATGCCCAGTCATTATGAATAATAACTAAAATGGGTGTGCAGTCTGATAAATATTGATTAATTTATTAAATTGACCAGACATTATGAATAAAGGTATATTTTCTTTGGGCAGTTTGATTAAAAAAACTCCATTTATTTCATTTAGAAATATTTATTTTTGTGAATTATTTCAAAGTATTTTAAAAAGAACATGTAATCTTTTAAAACTAAGTACTATTAACTATATTAGGTAAAATTCTACCATTTAATTAATTGCACCATGACAGTGCCATAGGTAAAATTCTATCAATTAAACTAATATTAACGAAAAGTCAATGTACAGGAAACCTCTGGAATTACATATTTGGTATAAATTATATAAAAAATTAAATGTTTTTTAGTTTATTTATTAGAGCAATTAAGATTTTAATGATGTTTGGAATTACGTGATTTTTTTTTTCTTTGTAGCATTTGCATCTATTAGATTTGCAACCAATTTTGCAGCAGCATCGACTATAGCTTTGGCCTCTGGTAAAATTAAAATGTTGCCCAAGATTAACTACTGGTCGCTTAAATTTAAAATTCAGTACTAAATACAATATGCATGTGCAACTCAGATGCAAGTGCTGATTGGCTAACGTATGTTGGATGATCACTCCTCAACATATTACCACCACTTTGCCTGACTAGGTGATAGCAGTATTCATAATGACCAGTCAATTTGATAAATTATGTTAAAATACCTGAAAGTTGTTAGTTCCCAATTTTGTTTTCATTATTCATAATGCCTGTATTAATTAGTCACTTAGTCTATAACATATATATTAATTATATATTCTATGTAAACTTTTTGGTATTTTCACATTACTAATGCAAATTTGATGTTTTTGTAATTCATTGTATTCTTCACTTTATAATAACCAGGTTAAAATATAATATGGCTGCCAGCATGTACCTCCAAATAGTGGACAAACTTCTCAGTCTCAATGGTGTCTGCTATTTGGAGGTATTTTTATATTAAATGTTTAAGATCAGATTTGTAGTTCTTTTTGTGATTGCTATCAGTTTGACTTGTATGGATTAAAGCTATGCATTTAAGTTTGTAAAACAACATAATGATTAATATTCAGTGTGTATATTTTCAGAGAGATGAACGTTTACCTGAGGAAAAATTGCCTGATCAGATTGGGCGTGTTGTTGGAGATGTAGCACCAAGTATGATGTTGTCTAGTCTGTCTATGTCCAGCTGTTTTTTTATTGGTAATAATTTTATAATTTTGCTATACTTAAAATTTAATTATATTTAATTAATGAAAACTATAGTCAATATTTTCATTTTCATATGGTAAATTATTTGCAATTATTTCATGTAATCTTTTCTGATGTGTGCAAGAACTGTCTTATTTTTATATATAGCTATATAGCATTCTTTAATTAGTTTTTTATATAGAAATATCCCAAAGGCAATTTTCAATTAATAAATTTACATATCTCAGTAACAAATTCAAAAAGATTTATTATTTAATAAGTCAAACTATAGAACATAAGAACATAATAATTACAGAATGCTATTAATTATACAATATACATACATAAGATGTTACATAATATAACACAAATTCAATTTACATTATATATATAATTAATGATATAATGTCTATATTTTCAAAAATTTAAATAAATAAAAAAAAAACTATCATTCAAATTTCTGTATGTATGTTTGATACATTGTATATAAATAGATTTCAATAAACTCTCAGCAATAAATAATTGTATGATTTGAAATTGAGATTCATATGATTTTTTTTACATCTGAAACATGTTTGAATTGATCTTTGAATATTTCACAATGCTTCCAAAAAATTGTAAAAGTGAAAGCCTTTTATTTACAAAAGAATGATGGTTATCTGACGTTGCAATGAGTTATCTTGATTATAAGTTCTGGCATTGTCTGAGCCAGCTCAGGGTTATTATACATTTAGTATATTGTATTAAAAATATTACAAGTAGTAAAACATATTATTTAATTCAAGAGTACAGACTGAGAAAATAATATTTGTACTTGTTTATATTTACATTTGTAAATAGTATTTAAAAAAATTTATATATATATATATAAAGAATATTAGTACAGGTAGCACTTGGTTTATGCCGGCTCAACTTTCATTGATTCACAATAACACCACTGCACAATTTGCCATTTCGCAGTATAATTCCCCGATTTTCCCTGTGCTAGACTGATTTTCATTTCAGTGTTGATGTATTACTGAGCCGCGACATTGTATATTCATTAAAACAAAGATTTTTATTGAATATATTTATTTATTTATTTATGTTTTGTTTAATATTATTGGGTATGTATACATTTACATTAAATTAATATTAAAATACTAAATGTTTAGGTACCCACGAGTCAAGTTATTAAACTTAATAGTCCAATAAATGATGTCCGAATCCATAGCGTCAATGAATGTATCCCGTATCAGTTCGTTCTGGAAAATGTTTTACGACAGAGTAGCACTTCCAGCAATCACAAACTATTGTTAGTGAGACAAGTCTACTTCTTGTTGGCCAGACGATATCTACTTCTTGTCAGTCAGACAATATCTATCTCTCCTTAGCCACCTTCAATTTTCCCGCTCAAACTGACCCTATATATGTGCTACGGCAACTGGTGGTCAACCAATCAGTGTCTCCGCTTGTCTGTTGCTCTAAGACGGGTTAACATATCCTTTCAACTATGGAAAGTTTGACAGATGAACTTTGTGAGTTAGACAATGATTGGGAGCGAAGTGCAAATGTAAAAAGGAGTATCATATTCGACCATATTCTGAAATTCTTAATGAAAGAAAACAAAAATGTAAATAAATAAAGATGTACATTTTTCATAAAAAGGATTCAAGATTCAAAACTAAAATTTCTTAATAAAAACATTTCACTTTATTTTATGATAAAATACATTTTAAAAATTAAATTTATATGTATGTTGTATTATATTGTATTAATAAACAAAATTATTAGCTTATTTTTCACTTATGTAGAACCTACCCCTATACCTCACTGTAAATATGGGTTTATTTTACACCAATTTGATTTGCGCTGGCTTTTATAGGAACAGAACTGCGGCGTAAACCGAGGGCAACCTGATATAAAGAGTATTATTATAGAGTATTATATTCTTGTAAAAATCCTTTATTATTGCCTCTTCATATTAAGAAAATTTTAAATTAAAGGAATTTTGAATTGTTTTTGAACAAGAATACTAATTAATTCTGGAAAACAAAGCTATTTCTCTTAGTTAATTTTTTTTTGTCCTTGTTATTGAGTTTTTGATACATTTGAAATAATAGTCCATTTGTAGATTAAAAAGTGTATTAAAAAAATACTAATTGTTTTTTTCTGTGGTGATCAAAATTATTGTGGTTGAATGTACAGTCAAACTTCAGGTTTCAAACTTAATTCCTTCCTAAAAGTTGTTTGAAAACTGATTTGTTTTCAAACCAAAACATATTTTCCCACAAGAAACAATATAAAATGGATTAATTCATTAAATGGATTTTTCTAAAGCTACATTTTATGCATAAAAATGCCTACAAATGCAATATAATATTATCTATATCCATTTTATATATATTAAAATAAAAATGATCTGTTGCTGCCAACCAGAACTGAAACCATCACTTTACAAAAAAGTGCTATAGACAGACTTAACTCTGCCTGGATGAAATATAGCAAAATCAATCAAGATGAATAACAAGTACTTTATCCACACTTTCTGAAATATGTTTTTAATTTGATTTGAATTCAATTTTAATTAATTCATTTTGACTATTTTTAATTTTAGTTTCAATTTTGGTGTAAAAACCAGAATTTTGATTATTTTGTTNATTTATTATGAATAAAATATCTTAAAATTAATAGCTTTTTTATTTTTTAATAGCAGAATTGTTTAAAATTGTTTTCATTTTGGTTATTTCAAAGAATTGTAGTTTTATTTATTGAGCAAACTTTAATAATGATTAATAACTAAAAGTTCAGGGTCAGAGATTCACAAAAATGAAATTGTAAATGAAAAAATTTAGGAATAGTTCAATCAATAATAATAACAAAAATAATTGTACTTATCATTAAAATTAACTTATTTCAGGTTGATTCCAAAATTTCCCTTGGACTTGCAGGCGTTCTCATTGTATTAGTATCTGTTGTATCATCATTGGGAATATTTTGTTATTTTGAAGTGCCAGCTACATTGATTATTATTGAAGTAATCCCTTTCCTTGTATTGGCTGTGGGTGTAGATAATATTTTTATTCTTGTACAAGCTTTTCAGGTAAGATATTTAAGACTTAAATAACTTTATACTTCCATAGTAAAGAATAATACCAACACTAAAACCATTAAAATGTAATAAAGTCAAATTGTAAATCTTTAAATTTTAAAATACATCAAGTAAGATTTGAATTGTTCTATTTTAGAAAACATAAAAAGCTCTTTAGTTATTTAAATAGTTTAATAATCTGAAGCAGATCTTTAAAAGGGACTGAAAACATCTGTTATTTTATTAAAGTTACTGCTGGAAAAGTAAGAAAGGTGTGTGGTGTTTTAGTTGTAAGCAGTTCCAGTTTTTACATGATGCAGTCAACTTGCATTAATATGAAATACTAGGGGAACAGTAGTTGGTTTGCTTTATCGAAAATTCATATTAATGATTTTCAGGATCAAGGTTGTATAATTTAGAGAGGCAAGGCTTAATAGGTGATTGAGATCTCTTAAATTATAGTATTTTGAATTAATTTGCTAAATAAAGCTAGATAAAATTAATTTTATTTATGAAAACAAATGTTCCATATGATTCGCAAATCAAACAAAATAAGGAGATGGATTTGCCAATTTAAGTGTGGAATAGTATATCAGAGTGATTAAACAAAATGAAGCTAAAAGAAATCTGTGGATTTCTTTTTCTGTTGAAGATTGTTTGAAAAAATATAAAACATTTTTGACACCAAAAGAGTGAAAAGGGAGTCAAATTTGGTACAAAGTAGCCAAACCTGACATCATATATGCACCACAATATGCAAACTTACATATGTTTATAAGGGACTGCATCCATTTAAAGGGATGAGTGTCCCTAAACTTTAAGCCCTATTTCTGAGTACAGTAGAATGGTCTGATAAAACAGATGTTTGCATTGCTGTATAATTGGAGGTTTTAACTGTTTTTGCTTACTAGGAGAAGAAAATCTATTCCACACAAAATAGAACATTTATTACAGTACTGCTTTGCTTTTTACATTTTTTCAACATAAATAATAAAATTATTGGAAATAGGATTATTTATTGGGATTGTGAAGATAATTTACAGTTTAGTTTAACAAATTCTGGTAAAAATTTTTGTTTGCTTTATTATGTGAAGATTAATGTTATGACAGGCTTTTTTCCAGTGCAAGGATAAAATTCACTGTATTGATGATCACTTTGAGTTGACAATATATTTAATTTCCAATTATACCAAAAGAATGTTTGTTTTAATTTAGGTTTTAAAACAAATTCTCAATGATATTGATTAGCCTAAGTAAATATTCAATGAAAAAATTTATAATTTTCTTAGGTCTTTTGATTGTTTAATCCATCCAAGGTGATGTCTGAGTATACTTGGGTTAAGCCTAGTGACTTGAATAATCATGCCCATTATACTGATTTGTGCTATAGTACATTATTTACTGATAGGTGGCATTGATTCTGCTAGAATTTTGAAAGATCTGATGTAATATGACTTACCAGTTCTTCTAACCTCTAACACAGTTTTGAAATTTTTTTTGCATATGCTCATTCAGCATAAACTTCTGTAAATTGGAGCTTGTATCAAGAATTGATTTTAAAATGGTAATTCACAAGAAAGACACTAATTAGTGATGAGAAATTAGAATTTACACTTATATGGATCAGTTATTAGTTATGAGTGATTCTTCATTTAGTGAAGAAATTAGTAAAGATTTTGACATGGTAGATGAAATTGGGATGCTTTCATCTAGTCAGACCTTCTACATTACCAGACCTGACAGTGGAAGCAGAAAAGAAGGAAATGAAGGAAGTTTGTGGTGCTTGTGATGGTGGTTGTAATGATTACCTTCTTAGTGTTCTATCATCTTATGGTGTTTTTAATTTTAAACAGTTTTTAATGGTTCCTACTTAACGAGATAGACAATTATCTTGTTAAGTAGGATAGAAATAAGAAAAAAGAATTTAAGAAAAATTATGGCATGTTAAATGTGATTTTGTAGTAAAATTATCTTCATTGACCATGTGTAAATGTGAATAACTAATTTTAGGAATATTCAATATTTGTGTCTTATCAAGATTTTACTTTATAGTTCATTGGCCATGGAAATAATGTTTAAACTTTATTTTTAAACTAATGTATCTTAAATGTTAAAGTGATAAAACCTCATTCTCCTATATTTGGGTGAAATAGTTATTTTTTTTTAAAAATGCAATCAAATTGTGTCACTGGATACAAATTCAATTACTATAAAGATCAGCCATTTGTTCCTATTTTTTGTTTTCCCAAAGACAAAGATTTAAGAGAGATGGGTCAGAAGGATAAATTGTGAAAATTTTTCATCAAATAACTCAGCAGTTTGTATGAATCATTTTGACCCTGAATTCATCGTTAGAGAAGATAAATTTTCTTGTGCTGATGGCACTTTCATAAGAGTACTAAGGAAAAAGGGTAAGCATCTTCCTGCAGCTTTAACTAAGTTTTTGGAAATCAACCAGTCATACTTTACTAAGCAGTTACCTCCCAGAAGAAAGTATTCCAAAGAATGTTTAGAACAAGTTCTTGCTTGTGATGAACAGCAGTTCCAAGAGTTGAGTCAAAGGGACAATATAACAGGATTTGATTAATTCTAAAAAAAGTAATTAATAAAAATATAAAGCCTTTCATTCTAAATATTAAAGAAAATCATATTTTTTTGTTTCAAATTGATGATGATAGTACTGAAGTACCTAAGATAAGTTTCCATTAAAATTTCAACATTTCTCTCTGTTCAGGTATTTTATTATAATGTTAAACTTTCTAGTGATTACTTTGAATGGTATCTTGGTGAAAAATTAATCTGTAATAAATGGACCAAATTTGACTGTCTGGTAAGTCACCTTGTGTCTTTTCAAGAAGGAAGATCTAGATAGTAAAGAAAAACTCTCATTTATGCTTAATTGGTTTGTTGACATAGACTTTAATACTTTGGACCAAAATATTCAGAAGAAACTAAAATTCATACAAGAACAACTGAAACTTTCAATCATTACTTGGTTAAGATATTTAACAGACACTTTGCTTTGGGCTTCAACATTATTTTACTTTTTTGATGGAACATATTATTTAATACATTTAAGCAAATTGTTCACACTCCTACATCCATCATGTTTAAGATGATTATTAAGTGAAATGGAGAATAACACTGCTGGCATAAGTCTTTCACAGGAAAAGTATTTAAAGGAAAAATGTGAACTCCTAGAAGATCATGAAAAAGTTGTATGCCTATTACTGGATGAAGTTTGTGACTCCTAAACTAAACTACAAAGGTGGCAAAATAAAAGGAATTGTATTACATAAGGACAGGGAACTTGAAGCTGCCACTACAATACAAGTTTTTGTTAACTCATGTTTGTCTGGAAATTAAGATGCTGTTGCTTTATTTCCTGTGAAGAATTTAAATAGTAGTTTGTGGTTTAAGATGACTATGGAAGTACTTAATGTAATGGAAAATTATGGCTATATATATCTATGCCTTATATCAGATAACAATAGTGAGTAAAGGAATATTTCAGCACATGGGTGGAGGATCTTTAACTTAGATACATTTAGGTGTAAAAATTTATTGTACTGTAAAAGATAAATACGGTGAACCTCTATTACTGGACACTCCTGAATAGCAGACACCTCTTCTTAATGGACATTTTTACATTCCCCAGACCCTTCAAATAGGACATATATTATATTTACCTCTTAACTAGCAGACACACTAAATAATGACGCCATCATCCATAACTTCTCTTATGAAAACACAATGCCCTGTCTTTAATATTCTGAAGTAATTAATTACATACAAAATATTTTAAAACTTAAATAATCAGTTCAAATACTCTTTCAGAGGAAGAATTTTGACTGTAGGCATTGAATAAAGACTGGCTTAAAAGAGAAATAGGGGAGGAGGGTAGGTTATGAAAAGCCAAACAAGATTTGTTATCTGTTAGAGTGTGTTAATCTGGTTAAGTTGTCAATCACTATTTATCATCATACATATTAATGTTATTAAACTTTTGTCTTATTGTTGGAATTAAGCTTATTGTACCAAGAAACCATAAACTTTTCTGAAGTTATTCATTCATTCAACAAAATCCTTAGTACAGTAGTAATGAAAAAGAAACAGTTTTAACAGCATATATTGAAAGTTCAAAGATCATGTTACAAAGGTGATTTGCCAACCACTTTAAAGTGTAGGATGATATTTGGTTTTATTGCATTTATGATCTTAACAGCTTTGTCGTGGCTAAAGTAACTTTTTAATAAATCATTTATTGAAAAAAGCAAAAATGTTCGAAAAATTACACCTACTTTATAACTATAAAGTAGAAAAATCATAATAAATTTTTATTAGTCACTTAACCATAAATGATGTTATAAATGCAAAAATTTACTGAATACATTTCTTACCTCTTGAAGTGGCTAGCAAATTGCCTTCGTAAAACTTGACATTCAAACTCTTATCTCCTAAACCCTTCTATTCATAATAATGGTTTCATTTTTCTTTTTGTTACTTCTGCTCAGGTCGTTTTTGATGAATTAATAATCAATCAACATATACACTTTGTTGTAATTTTTGTGTTTCATTTAATTAAAATATTCTATACAATTGTTTGCTATTTAGAATTGAATTAAAATCTGATTTTTACAGCTGAAAAGATAAATATATTGTGTATGTATGTTATGGACCAAGTGATTAATAGGGCATTAATGCCCAGTCATTATGAATAATAACTAAAATGGGTGTGCAGTCTGATAAATATTGATTAATTTATTAAATTGACCAGACATTATGAATAAAGGTATATTTTCTTTGGGCAGTTTGATTAAAAAAACTCCATTTATTTCATTTAGAAATATTTATTTTTGTGAATTATTTCAAAGTATTTTAAAAAGAACATGTAATCTTTTAAAACTAAGTACTATTAACTATATTAGGTAAAATTCTACCATTTAATTAATTGCACCATGACAGTGCCATAGGTAAAATTCTATCAATTAAACTAATATTAACGAAAAGTCAATGTACAGGAAACCTCTGGAATTACATATTTGGTATAAATTATATAAAAAATTAAATGTTTTTTAGTTTATTTATTAGAGCAATTAAGATTTTAATGATGTTTGGAATTACGTGATTTTTTTTTTCTTTGTAGCATTTGCATCTATTAGATTTGCAACCAATTTTGCAGCAGCATCGACTATAGCTTTGGCCTCTGGTAAAATTAAAATGTTGCCCAAGATTAACTACTGGTCGCTTAAATTTAAAATTCAGTACTAAATACAATATGCATGTGCAACTCAGATGCAAGTGCTGATTGGCTAACGTATGTTGGATGATCACTCCTCAACATATTACCACCACTTTGCCTGACTAAGTGATAGCAGTATTCATAATGACCAGTCAATTTGATAAATTATGTTAAAATACCTGAAAGTTGTTAGTTCCCAATTTTGTTTTCATTATTCATAATGCCTGTATTAATTAGTCACTTAGTCTATAACATATATATTAATTATATATTCTATGTAAACTTTTTGGTATTTTCACATTACTAATGCAAATTTGATGTTTTTGTAATTCATTGTATTCTTCACTTTATAATAACCAGGTTAAAATATAATATGGCTGCCAGCATGTACCTCCAAATAGTGGACAAACTTCTCAGTCTCAATGGTGTCTGCTATTTGGAGGTATTTTTATATTAAATGTTTAAGATCAGATTTGTAGTTCTTTTTGTGATTGCTATCAGTTTGACTTGTATGGATTAAAGCTATGCATTTAAGTTTGTAAAACAACATAATGATTAATATTCAGTGTGTATATTTTCAGAGAGATGAACGTTTACCTGAGGAAAAATTGCCTGATCAGATTGGGCGTGTTGTTGGAGATGTAGCACCAAGTATGATGTTGTCTAGTCTGTCTATGTCCAGCTGTTTTTTTATTGGTAATAATTTTATAATTTTGCTATACTTAAAATTTAATTATATTTAATTAATGAAAACTATAGTCAATATTTTCATTTTCATATGGTAAATTATTTGCAATTATTTCATGTAATCTTTTCTGATGTGTGCAAGAACTGTCTTATTTTTATATATAGCTATATAGCATTCTTTAATTAGTTTTTTATATAGAAATATCCCAAAGGCAATTTTCAATTAATAAATTTACATATCTCAGTAACAAATTCAAAAAGATTTATTATTTAATAAGTCAAACTATAGAACATAAGAACATAATAATTACAGAATGCTATTAATTATACAATATACATACATAAGATGTTACATAATATAACACAAATTCAATTTACATTATATATATAATTAATGATATAATGTCTATATTTTCAAAAATTTAAATAAATAAAAAAAAACTATCATTCAAATTTCTGTATGTATGTTTGATACATTGTATATAAATAGATTTCAATAAACTCTCAGCAATAAATAATTGTATGATTTGAAATTGAGATTCATATGATTTTTTTTACATCTGAAACATGTTTGAATTGATCTTTGAATATTTCACAATGCTTCCAAAAAATTGTAAAAGTGAAAGCCTTTTATTTACAAAAGAATGATGGTTATCTGACGTTGCAATGAGTTATCTTGATTATAAGTTCTGGCATTGTCTGAGCCAGCTCAGGGTTATTATACATTTAGTATATTGTATTAAAAATATTACAAGTAGTAAAACATATTATTTAATTCAAGAGTACAGACTGAGAAAATAATATTTGTACTTGTTTATATTTACATTTGTAAATAGTATTTAAAAAAATTTATATATATATATATAAAGAATATTAGTACAGGTAACACTTGGTTTATGCCGGCTCAACTTTCATTGATTCACAATAACACCACTGCACAATTTGCCATTTCGCAGTATAATTCCCCGATTTTCCCTATGCTAGACTGATTTTCATTTCAGTGTTGATGTATTACTGAGCTGCGACATTGTATATTCATTAAAACAAAGATTTTTATTGAATATATTTAGTTTTTCTGTTTAATATTATTGGATATGTACAGGTAGCACTTGGTTTATGCCGGCTCAACTTTCATTGATTCACAATAACACCACTGCACAATTTGCCATTTCGCAGTATAATTCCCCGATTTTCCCTGTGCTAGACTGATTTTCATTTCAGTGTTGATGTATTACTGAGCCGCGACATTGTATATTCATTAAAACAAAGATTTTTATTGAATATATTTAGTTTTTCTGTTTAATATTATTGGATATGTATACATTTGCATTAAAAAGTTATCTTATAAAGAGCCTTAGTTTTATGTATAATTGTATAATTTAAGAATATTAGTACAGGTAACACTTGGTTTATGCCGGCTCAACTTTCATTGATTCACAATAACACCACTGCACAATTTGCCATTTCGCAGTATAATTCCCCGATTTTCCCTATGCTAGACTGATTTTCATTTCAGTGTTGATGTATTACTGAGCTGCGACATTGTATATTCATTAAAACAAAGATTTTTATTGAATATATTTATTTATTTATTTATGTTTTGTTTAATATTATTGGGTATGTATACATTTACATTAAATTAATATTAAAATACTAAATGTTTAGGTACCCACGAGTCAAGTTATTAAACTTAATAGTCCAATAAATGATGTCCGAATCCATAGCGTCAATGAATGTATCCCGTATCAGTTCGTTCTGGAAAATGTTTTACGACAGAGTAGCACTTCCAGCAATCACAAACTATTGTTAGTGAGACAAGTCTACTTCTTGTTGGCCAGACGATATCTACTTCTTGTCAGTCAGACAATATCTATCTCTCCTTAGCCACCTTCAATTTTCCCGCTCAAACTGACCCTATATATGTGCTACGGCAACTGGTGGTCAACCAATCAGTGTCTCCGCTTGTCTGTTGCTCTAAGACGGGTTAACATATCCTTTCAACTATGGAAAGTTTGACAGATGAACTTTGTGAGTTAGACAATGATTGGGAGCGAAGTGCAAATGTAAAAAGGAGTATCATATTCGACCATATTCTGAAATTCTTAATGAAAGAAAACAAAAATGTAAATAAATAAAGATGTACATTTTTCATAAAAAGGATTCAAGATTCAAAACTAAAATTTCTTAATAAAAACATTTCACTTTATTTTATGATAAAATACATTTTAAAAATTAAATTTATTTNATAACATATATATTAATTATATATTCTATGTAAACTTTTTGGTATTTTCACATTACTAATGCAAATTTGATGTTTTTGTAATTCATTGTATTCTTCACTTTATAATAACCAGGTTAAAATATAATATGGCTGCCAGCATGTACCTCCAAATAGTGGACAAACTTCTCAGTCTCAATGGTGTCTGCTATTTGGAGGTATTTTTATATTAAATGTTTAAGATCAGATTTGTAGTTCTTTTTGTGATTGCTATCAGTTTGACTTGTATGGATTAAAGCTATGCATTTAAGTTTGTAAAACAACATAATGATTAATATTCAGTGTGTATATTTTCAGAGAGATGAACGTTTACCTGAGGAAAAATTGCCTGATCAGATTGGGCGTGTTGTTGGAGATGTAGCACCAAGTATGATGTTGTCTAGTCTGTCTATGTCCAGCTGTTTTTTTATTGGTAATAATTTTATAATTTTGCTATACTTAAAATTTAATTATATTTAATTAATGAAAACTATAGTCAATATTTTCATTTTCATATGGTAAATTATTTGCAATTATTTCATGTAATCTTTTCTGATGTGTGCAAGAACTGTCTTATTTTTATATATAGCTATATAGCATTCTTTAATTAGTTTTTTATATAGAAATATCCCAAAGGCAATTTTCAATTAATAAATTTACATATCTCAGTAACAAATTCAAAAAGATTTATTATTTAATAAGTCAAACTATAGAACATAAGAACATAATAATTACAGAATGCTATTAATTATACAATATACATACATAAGATGTTACATAATATAACACAAATTCAATTTACATTATATATATAATTAATGATATAATGTCTATATTTTCAAAAATTTAAATAAATAAAAAAAAAACTATCATTCAAAGTTTTGTATGTATGTTTGATACATTGTATATAAATAGATTTCAATAAACTCTCAGCAATAAATAATTGTATGATTTGAAATTGAGATTCATATGATTTTTTTTACATCTGAAACATGTTTGAATTGATCTTTGAATATTTCACAATGCTTCCAAAAAATTGTAAAAGTGAAAGCCTTTTATTTACAAAAGAATGATGGTTATCTGACGTTGCAATGAGTTATCTTGATTATAAGTTCTGGCATTGTCTGAGCCAGCTCAGGGTTATTATACATTTAGTATATTGTATTAAAAATATTACAAGTAGTAAAACATATTATTTAATTCAAGAGTACAGACTGAGAAAATAATATTTGTACTTGTTTATATTTACATTTGTAAATAGTATTTAAAAAAATTTATATATATATATATAAAGAATATTAGTACAGGTAACACTTGGTTTATGCCGGCTCAACTTTCATTGATTCACAATAACACCACTGCACAATTTGCCATTTCGCAGTATAATTCCCCGATTTTCCCTATGCTAGACTGATTTTCATTTCAGTGTTGATGTATTACTGAGCTGCGACATTGTATATTCATTAAAACAAAGATTTTTATTGAATATATTTATTTATTTATTTATGTTTTGTTTAATATTATTGGGTATGTATACATTTACATTAAATTAATATTAAAATACTAAATGTTTAGGTACCCACGAGTCAAGTTATTAAACTTAATAGTCCAANATTATAAAATTTAATAGATTTATTTGATAATTTTATAAAATGATTTTAAATTTTAATAAAAAATATTCTGTTTAAAATTTTATATTTAAAAATAAAAACAAATATTTTACATTATGTAACATAGTAAAATTTTTTGGGAGTGTTTTGAATAAATATTTTTAGAAAAATATTTAAAAAATTAAACATTTTTTGAGAATAAAAAGTAATTTTTTTTTATTTGAATATCTTTTGTTGATCTATCGATTACCCTTCTATAGAAATTTTTTCCATTTTTTAACAATGGCCATATTTCAAAATTCAAACTAAATAGAAATATATAAAATTTAAAAACTTTAAGTTTTAGATTTTGTGCCAAGATTCCTTTATTAAAACGTTATATTTACGCTTTGAAATTCTGTTATATAAATTTATAAACAAATGTTTATACTTTAAAATGTGTTAAAAGATTTTTACATTTAAAGTAAAATTTAAGTTTTTACTAAAATGTTCTAAAAGATGCACTTATCTCATATGGAATAGTAATGCTTTAAAATATTATAATTTAATAAAATATTTATAATTTTTTTAAAATTAAATAATATAAATAAGCTTTAAAATACGTATAAAATTAATAAACATTATAAAGCTTGTTAATAATAATCTACAAGAAATTTTTTACGTTTTGGAGAGAATATTTTTTTAATTAGTCACAATTACATCAATCTCACTCTCGAATAAAAAAGTTGTACAGACAGACGAACAAACAGAATGAGAAGCATTTTAAATTCTCTAACTCGAGAATGTTTCTGACAAATCTTACAGATAGACAAATTAACGGTACAAAAATTATTAAATTTCATCAAAAGCCCGAATGAATTCGGTTAATTTTTTAGTTTGTGGTAAGCCTGTTCTCGAATTCATACATCTCTTTCCATGCTTCAACTATCTTGCATTAATTTGTAAAGTAATTAAATTTTACATTTAAATTTTTACTTATAAAAACAAAATGGCTAAATTTGGTTTTATTTAATTTTAGAAGTCGCAAAAGTAGTTGAAATTACACTAAAAGTTAGTAAACATAGGCAGTCTACTTCAAATTGTGAAATGAACATATCCAGAAGAAAATCTAACAGCGGTGAATTTAAAATTCCCTTAACAGTGATTGGTTAAAAAAAATAAAACTGGTGGAAATATGTCTACTGTCAAATAAATCATCTTGAATAAATGACTTTTATTTAAAAATATTTATACTACAATCGAACTTCCAATGACTGCCATATCCAACAACGCCCGTTGTTTAGAAGTTTCAGTGTATTTATATTAGTTTTTATAAAATTATTTTACAATTTTCAGCCAATAAGCATAATTTACTGTATATTTAATAGTGAAAGTTAATAGAAGTAATTAAAATAAAAATAATTATTGGAAATAGGTGGTACGTTGATAAAGTGAGCTACACAAAACGTTGTAATGATATGATTTTAAACCAATCAGCATTGTTTTTTAATGTAAAAATGGATGTAACCTTGCCTATAAAACTAAAGATATATTAATTTTTATTATTTGAGTTGAGCACCTTTAAATATGGATTTGTGGATGTCATTTATATTACACGAATGTTAGTTAATGCAATTTTTATTAATTAATTTGATTTAAATTCATTTGTGATGTGTACCGAAGAATGTAACTAGTATCTTCCTGCATGTGCATTGAAATCTAATTTGAATAACAGCAGCATCAATGGTTCATGTTGTGATGTCTAATGATTCAAGGCAGTCTTGACGCCACTAACTTCCAAATCCGGTAGTCCCGTCATTGATTGAATTGATTGGGTCGTTAACTTTAACACAGGACGTATATGGAATCTGTATTTCTCTAATCTGTCAATGGCTTTTGCTGAGTAGGTTGTTCAGCAACCAGAATAAATATGGTGTTCAAAATTTTGTTTGCAAACAGAATTATTTGAAAAGTGAGGTGTTCAAATCTCAAGGTTTGACTGTAAAATTATATTAGAATACCTTTATTGTAACTACTGAGTTACAATAATTGTATTCAATAAATAAATTAGTTATCAGTATAGGTGAATCCCAGAGTGGATTCACCTATACTAAATACTGAAATATAATGTTAAGCACAGTAAATAAATGAAAACTATAATTAGTGGAAATTTTTTTATTGACTGATATTAGCATACTTAGTAGAGACAAGATCAATTGTACACGACAGCAGTCACGCTTGAACTGGTATTGTGGTATGTGTACACCGCGGAAACAAAAAAAAGCAGTTGCACAATGAACTGCAGCCTGCCAAATTCAAATGTAGTCAGTTTTCTCAATTCCAGTTTTCATAATTTCTGGAAACCAAATATTTGGTCTGGTACTGTATATAATACTTTTGAATTTAATTTAATTTACTCATTTTTATGTTTTTTGAGATTTGTGAAGTAAATTAGTATTTAATTAGTTTTTAGTATCAGAAAAGTTATTTTAAAAAACTGATTTCAATAAACTTTTTTTTAAATTAGGTGCTGTTACAGATATGCCTGCTGTGAAATTATTTGCCTTATATGCTGGTGTTGCATTATTAATAAATTTCTTTCTTCAGATGACTTGTTTTCTTGGATTATTTACATTAGATTCATATCGACAGGAGGTAAGATACAGAAACTTTCATTTCATTGTTAATTGGATTTAATTTTGTTATTAGAAACTAATAATCATTACAGTTTTTATGTTTCTGTTGAAATCCATTGAATCTAATATACACTGTACAATAAAGTATTAATTTTTGTTAACTATCCAATTTTGCATAGTGGATAAATTAAAAGATTAAGGGCTGGATTTGTGAACATCTTGAATACAACATAGCATCCCTCTGATATTGTGAAGTTACCAGAAACAAACAATATTTTATATTATATTCATAGAACATATTGTAGCATTTAAAATAAAACAAAAAACTTGTAATGAGTGTTTCTTACAATATTACCATGACTGCTTCTGTTGTTAATAGAGCAATTGGAAAGCATTTTGTAGTGACATACATTGTGTTTTCATATTTCTCATGTGTTTTCAATGCCAGAGCAATTTAGCAATTTTACTTTCTATCATCTTTCTTCTTCCTACATAATCTATGAAGAATTTTAATTCTAACAAATTAAAACTCTTAAAAGCTAAATATAAAAGAAAACTGTAATTAATCTAGGTGTAGAACAAAAACTGTCCATAAGTGATTTTAATAGTTATATTAATAGAAATATTGAAGTTTGGAAACAATTGACAAACTTTTTTAACTAAAAAAAAAAAAAACACTAAGAGAATGTTAAATTATAACAAACAATTATTTATTGTGACATTATCACAATGCCAGACTGCAATTTTTAACCGTATTTTTAATTTATTTCATTTAAAATATGTTTTCCCTTATTTGATGTGCTGAAAGCATGCATCAGCCATTGAAACAGTTGAAGATATCAGTTGTTCTGCCCTTGAAGATCTGTTTCTTGCTTTCTTCCACAATTGTAAAACACCACTTTTGGATAAATTTTTCTTAAGTTAGGATATAAAAAGTCTTGTGTAATTTTTGACTTTTTCTATGATAATATAACTCATTAAATTTTTGTAAAGGCATTCGAATTCAGTTACACCTGAAAATGGCTTATTGTTTTAGACTGAAAATGTTTGTGTTTTGTTTAATAAACATTTCTCAGCAACAGAAGGTATATTGATAGTTTATTAACTAATTAAATAACATCAAAAAATTTTTTTAAAGAAAAACAAATTAAGAATTTGCTATCTTTCAGTTATGAATTTGCTTAGTTTGTATATTTAACAATTTTCAGTTTACAATTAAAGTTTGTTTTTATATTTTTGTAGAATAATAGGTATGATGTCTGTTGGTGTATACAGTCTTCAAAAAAAGAGAAAAATTTGCTTATATCTAAAGGCTTACTATACAAATGTTTCAAGAACTTCTATGCACCTTTATTAATGAGGACAGAAGTAAAAGTACTTGTAGTAAGTATTAAAAAATATTTATAAGCAATTTTTTTAAAATTTAATCAAATAAATCGGATTTAGTTAGAAAAATCTTAAAGAAAAAGGAAATATAAAGATTTTGTGAATAATTCAGGGAGGGAAATGAAATTTAATTGTTCTTCGTTGCTCGTTCAGTGTATATGACATATTGAAATTATATTCTTAAATATCAATATAAAGTAGAAGAATTAATTGTTAACAGAGTTGATAATGTAAACATTATTTAAGAATGTACTGTACAACTTAAAACTTTAATTGGCTATGATAAACTGTAATTTAATCCCTTTTGTAGCTGTACCAGCATTAACCACAAAACATAACCATTTACTATACAGTATACAGTATTATACAGTAAATAATAATAATGTTTTTTATCTTCTTAATCGACCTCCTTTAGGAGGTATTTGAATTTTAGTTTAAAAATTGTCAAGGTTTTTTTAAATTGTAAAATTCAAGTATCTCCTGAAGAAAGTAAAGTGATAGAGAAGACTGAAAATGTTAGAATAATAACTATTTACTATCCAGTAAATATTTGTTTTGTGGTCAACTATAAATTAATAATAAAATAATAATCCAATGTGATTAAAATGGAGTTTGGCCCTGACAAATGGAGAACACATCACATAGAAAAAGAATTCTGAAGATGATTCTGTACTTGGAAATGCCTTTGAATCCATGGATAAGGGTAAAGTGTTCTTTGAGTCAAATATTTACTCAGAGAACACACATAAACATAAACTCAGAAAACATGTACAAATCAAACAAAGATTAACAAAAGAATACAAAAGCAAATTAAACTTTAATACTAACAACATAGCTGAATTCAAAACACACATTATTCCAGTACTGACATATTGATTTGGAGTTATACACTGGGGGGACACAGAACTAGAACAATCCAAAGAAAAAAACACAAATAACATTAACAAAACAAATACCACTGTAAGTTATCCATAAAAAGGTTCCTTTTTCCATGTAAAGTGAGAGAGAAGAGAGCCTTGCAGATGCTTTAAATCTTTTACTACAAACAAATACAGACACTGAGAATTTTTCTACAGAAAACAAGCTGTAACTCTTAGAGAAAAAAAAAAAAAACAGTATATTATCAAACTTATACAGCACTGACTTAAAAGTTGCAAATTTAGTGACTTTTATTATTTTTACTTGTGAAATGGTAAATATTGAAAAAGTTACCGGTTTACTGGTAAATTAACAGTAATTTTTAAATTTTGACTCCAAATGCAAAAATTAATACACTAGTGATTATTTAGTTGCTGACTCACTGAGTCAGTTTGAAGTAACAGTTTCATTTCCTGAAAAATAGAGCATGATGTAATTTTTTAGTTAATATGATTAAAAAGTGGCCAATATGTGCATTCACATTTAAATGTTCCATTTTGTTATCTAAAAAGTTGCTAAATTAAAATGTAAGTGTGCTTTAGACATTGTATAAAATTATAAAGTAATAATTTAAATTATAAAAGTGATGTAAACTACTACTTGTGCAAATTTTTTAATTTAAACCATATCTGTCTTTCATATATAGTTATATTTTTATATATTAAAATTTATACAAAAAATGTTTGGCTTTAAAAACATTATTGCATATCTATCTATCTATCTATTTTTACTAAATTTACTGGTAAAAATGTCAAATTATCAGTATATTTACTGATGCATTTTTAACTGATTAGCAGTAAACCAGTTTACCAGTAATGCAATTTGTAGACCTGGTTATAACAGTATACAATAGACATAAACACCATAAAACCCTAGACCAGATTTAGTCCAGATGTAGGAGGAGTTTGTGGTAGACTTCTTAATGATCTTAACTAGGATTACATTAACAAAACTGTGTCAAATGTTGGCTAATTTATGAATGTTTGTCTGAAGAGGCACAGATGGGTTCATGATTTCCATGCAAGACCAGGTTAGAGATAGTACAGGAAGCATATTTTAAAAGACATGACAGTTATATAGTTTTGTTCATGACACGGCTTTTCCTATGATATATCATAACAAGTTGTAACCTGATATGATGTTATTTACAGGAATCAGACAACTTACGTTGACATAATAAATAGCAAATACAATAAATCAAAAGTGTGATGGCTGAATGACTGAGTTGTTAAAATGGCAGCTTACCATTTTAACAACGCAGTCATTCAGCCATCACACTTTTGATTTATTGCTGTAGAAGATCTTGCATTGCTTCAGGATAAGTGGAAATCCCCAAGAATTTTTCATAGGTGGTCCATCTGGATATATTTGACCCTGTAATGGGGCAGCTGGGTGGGCCTGGCCAAATCCATAATGGGTTTTTTTTAGCAATAAAAAAGATCATCTTAGTGACTTCAGAGTAGAGAGTTAAAAAAAAAAAAAAAGTCAAATGTTTGTGCACAAACACACACTATTACATACACAGGAATCATACTACAAATACATACCTCAGACAGTCATAGAAAACAACACACACAATATGTTGTTTTCTATGACTGTCTACTGTTTTTCTACTGTGACCAAGCTATAATCACAGACAAAATAGTTTCTCACAACAGACCAGACATTACATTGGTGATGAACAAAAGAAAATTACATACAAAGTAAATTAGTAAATAATCAGAATTTATGCATTAAAAAAGTCTGCGGAGAATGGGTAAGGTATATATATTTGTAATTTTTTTTTATTTCACAGATATCATACCATATGCATTGTATGAACTCTAGAAACATTAGGCTTCACAAGCATAGCACTATGCACTGATATAAACAAAATAAGGGACAATTTATCAGAAACTTAGTAATAATAAATGAGTATGAAGATTATTGTAACTAAGTAGTAAAAATTTTGAGTAGTTAATTACTTACATTTTTAAACAAATTATTAAAACTAATTTTAAAATTCTATTGAAAATTTATAGAAAAAGGTTATCACTATTAACTAACATTTTCAACTTGTATCTAATAGCTGAAGAGAGATTTTCTAAAATGAGGTGTTTTTTAATATGCAAAAAGAAATGAATTTAGAATTAAGCCTTCTGAAATTTCTGAAGCTATCATGAAATTTCATGATTATATCAAAATTTGGAAATTTCATTTTAAAGATTGTTAATGAGTTTAATTAATTAATCAAAAAAATGAATATCATTTATAAATATAGTGAATTAAGTTAAAGAATCAAGTGTTTGGCTGAAATGAATAATTAATATAGTCAATGACAGAATATTTTATTCTAAATTTTTAATATATTGAATTTTAGTGAAGTTAGTAATAATTTGATGGTGTTGAATACAACAATGTTAATAAGGAAAAGGATTACTGTTGGGTGTAAAATATTAATTAAATATGTCAAGATATTTGAATTTTGTATAATTAACTAGTAAAATAGTTTAATTAATTTCTAATTAATTAAAAGGTAAACAGAAAATAAAGAGATAACCATTGTATAGAAGTTAGAAATTCAGCAAGGATTAGACTTAAAAATAATAATAATAATAATAATAGAAGAATGACCGAGTTAACATAAAATTGACAAAAATACCATCTGAGCTTGAGTTAGACTTTTTTGAAATTTGTTTCATAATGTCCATTGGAAAAAGTATTGTTGAAAAATTCACTTCAAGTGCATTAGAGATAAAGAAGAAAAATGCATTTGATATAAAACTTTTCCATAAACTGCAGTTATGTATGTACAATGTTTATTAAGCTAAGAATGATTTAAAACTGTAGCATTTTGAGGAAAAATTTAAGTATAAATTTTCAAAACCTTTTGGCTCATATAAAATGAAATTATTGTAACTGCTGTTTAAAGACTACTTCCATAATTTTCAGAATTTGTTTCATAATAAGTTGGGTACTAATCTATAGTTTTGGTTCAAGTAAATGCTTTTAAGGGTATATTTAAAGGCTTATTTATGAGCTAGATTGCTCAAAAAGAGGCTTACTGTGAATGATAAATTTTTTCTTATGAAATGTGTCTAAATTTAGAATCCATATTTTATCAGATTCAGATATTTTTTTGTAGGATTCAGATGTTTGCTGATATTATTAACTTGATAATGTGCTATTTAAGATTAATTTACAAGTATTTCACAATTACTAGCTGATAAATATCTGTATGTAAGAATCTACTAGTAATAGACATTTCTAGAAAAAATATTTAAAAAACAGAACAAATAATATTACTTTAGTTTGTATTTTTTTTTAATTAAATGTACAAGGAGCAGCACCCTATAAATAATGCAATGCAATTTTTCTTTGTCAAATTTAGCTGAAAAAAATTTTTTATGCATTATTCAAGTTTTTCATGTTCATATTGTTTTAACATTTACCATTATGTGGCAATGATGCAATTGAAAAGTTTCAAAATATTGCTGGAGTGAAATGTTACAGTCAACTGTTGAACACACTACATCATCATCAAATTTTACACCTAAATGAGGAACAAACACATTGAACAACATTCTCTACATCACTAAGCAATCTGTACAGTATGTAATTGTTTCCATATGAATGTTTTTTCATTATTTGTTATTTTTGCAATGCCATTTACTCCATAGCAGACAGTTTTGGAACTTAAATTTTTTTTGCAAAAATCCTCTTGCAAAAAAAAATTTGAATAGCATGTACACAAATTTCAGTATCAATTGGCTTGTTGGTTGAAATTACAATGGCTTCTGAATAGGACAACTTTAATTATACTAAGAAAAATGATTTTGCCCCTGTTAAGTTAATGACTGTTTCTAATGTATTTTAGGATTATGTTGCCCACGAAAAACTTTCTAACGGATTTTTATATTATTTGAAAAATAGCACAGTTATTGATCAATAATCTGTACCAATTTTAAATAAATAAAATTGACTAAGATTTCCAAGCCCCTGCATTTCTTAAGGGATTGGAGTTTTCCCAAATTTTACAACAGCAAAATCTTTAGAATCTTTATAGGACCTGAAATAAGAACTCCTTAAAGACTTAAAAACCTGTCAAATTAGCTGCTTGGCATTCATTTAAAGCAGTCAATGGTGAGTCTATTTCTCAGAAATCTACAAGAACTATGATTTTTTAATGTCAAAGCTACTGAGGTATTACAAAGAAATGGCTTGCCACATGCCTTTAAAGATTCATTTTCTCCATCCTCATCTCAACAAATATGTCAAAATGAAAACTTGGGTGACATGAGCAACGAACTGGACAGTTCTCCATCAGGATATTTCTAAAATTGAATAATTACCAGGGATGATGGGACCTCCCATACTGGGAAATTATTGCTGGACCTTCAAATGAGAAAGCAACAGTGAATATAAAAGACATTGAAAGGAAAGCATTTAAGATGTCTGTTTTATGCACAGTATATTAAGTGTATGTATTTTCTTACTTGCTGAAATATACCTGTACCAACTAAACCTTGTGTGACAGAGCATTTTTTAAGCTCATTTTGGCATTCAGCATACCTGTTTTTTACAAGGCAGAAGATAATTTAACTCTGGTGACAAGAGAAGTTTTAATTTGTTCCTTAGTATTATGATCACCTGGTATTCTTTTTGAACCTTTTGCAATTACTCCTTACATTTTTAATTTAATGGCAGATTTTAATGAACTAATCTAAAAATTAAAACAAAGTGCAAAAAATTATAAATTTATAATTTAGACTGTACCATTTTATTTTTGAATTTTAATAGTTTTAATTATGTAACAAAAAAATTAATTTCAGATTAAATTTTTTCAGTTTCTTGAATTTTAATTAAATACTAAGTAATTTAGCATTAGAGATAGGCATTAGGTATCATCTCTTATTAAATTTAATAAATTTATAAGTTTTTAACAGATTACTGTATTTATTAATGAACAAAAAATTTTAAAAAGTTGCTTTTTTCTCCCCTTTTGAAGACATAGTTTTACGATTGAAGATTGAGAAGATAAATTATTTTTACATAATTAAGTGTTAAGTAATGACGATTAAGCAAATCTAAAAAGATTTTTCTAATTAATAATCAGTTAAAAATCTTGGTTTTCAAAACTGATCTTTCAAAAATTCAAAACAATAATTCCTTAAAGAATATTTTAATTAGAAACAGTTAAATAGTTGTTTAAAGTGTAGAAAATTTTTCTGCTTATTTAAAAATTTTTTGTACAACATGAAAAATCAAATCTGTATCTGTGGTGGATACAGGAACTGGAGTACAAAAATGAGTACATAATGTTAACACTATTTTAAACAAAATTTTTTTAAATAACAAGAAGTTAAAAAAAATGTATTAAAAGTATAAGGTGAATATTGTTTAGTAGCTCTTTCCTTGCTCATCTATATACTTAATGATGATTACATTTTAATACAGCATAATGTCATCTTGAGACTATCATTTTAAATGTTTTTATGTGCAAAGCTCATCTGAACTGATTTAAGTAATGTAGCCAGAAATGTTTTAATGGTATATGCACTAAGAAGGCATTTTTGTGACTTTGTGATCTACTCATGATGACTGGTCATCATTTTAGCACTGTGAATGTAAGACACCATTAATTGTAAGATGCTTTTTTATTTTGGGAAAATTATTGATAAAATGATTATTTTGGGGTCAAGGAAATTGATACTTGTTTTATTCAGAGTGAAAAGTATATTAACATTTCCCCTGTTGTTTTTTTACAGTTGATATCATTTTTGGCTTGGCTATGTTCCTCACTTGCTGTGATTGATAAACTAGATATTGGATTTGATCAAGAACTTTCCATGCCAGAGGTAAATATTTATTAATATAAATGTTAAATTAAATGATGATCATTTGTAAATCAAAAAACAAAGTGCAAATAAATTTTGAAACAAATTAAAAAAAAATTGTTAAATTATAAAATACATTAAAAAATAATTCAATAATTAATTTAATGTATTTTGAGATTAATGAAATGAGTTTTGTTTGTTTAAATTTGTTTATTTACCACATTTTAAAATATAAAGTGACTAAGATATAGTAATATATTAAAGTAACTAAGATTTGTTTGTTCATCATTTGGAAGGTGAAGGAATACTCCTTAACATCTTTACATTATCCCAAAGAGTACTTGCATCTTCCACATTAGCAAAACTTGCTTATGTTAGTGTTTGTTTCTATTTGGATCACATTTTTTGTTTAATTCTCTGTGCAAAATTTCTGTATATTCAATATGTACCATATTCCACTCCTGTATCATCAATTTGTGTTGGAAGTATGTAAACTCATTTTTTGTTCCTCTAGTGTGTCTGTCATGTTTTATTACTGTGTACCAAATGGAATTACATTTGTAAATGATCTAGTATCATGTATTTTGCTGACTTTTTATTAGTGATGGGATGATATAAAAATTTCTCCTGATTCTGATTCTGCCGAAAACTCCAGTTTCCAATTCTTTTGAATACATTCTAAAGCTTATTTTAATTTATAAAAATTAATAATTTACATTACGAGCATGGTCCATTCATTAATTAATAAACATAAAACTTAAGAATGGAAAACAATTGGGAAATCCAAAATTAATCTTTTGAAAGAAATGTCAAAATTCTCCATTTTATACGTGGATTCATACGTGTGAATCCACGTATAAAATGGAGAATTTTGACATTTCTTTTATTGACTTTTATTTCTTTTATTTTATTTTGACATTTCTTTTATTGTGTAATACAAAATAAATTTGTAATCTCATTTTAGTTAAAGTTAATTTTGCAACACTACCCCAAAGAAATTCCAGCTAATTTCCTTTTACTCAAAGAACTATCCCATCACATCATGTAGGGTTGCCATCTTTGGAAATGGCTTTGTTGGCTGAAGTGATGACTGGGGAGGGAAAGGTAAATGAGAAGATGCACTTTTTTCATGCTTCTTGCAATAGGCATGTTTTGTAAATAATGTAACTCCATTATATTTAATTTTTAATGTGGTTTGGCAAATGATGCAATGAGCTGAACAAATATCATTATTATGAATTAACTAATTATTGAATTCATTTACTTGAACTACATATGTCTACACTGATTCATCTTGAAAAATCAATTTGTAAAACTCATTTGAAAATTTAATGTATTACAGCATCATCTGTGAATCATAACAAAAACTTTTATAATTATAATGAGAAAGTCATTTGATCATTATAAGTAAATATACTAAATATTAAAAAATAATTGAAAAATATTATATAAAATTAAAACAATTTTGTTTATATTTTGAACCATTTTGCTGACACTTAACTTAAATATTTTTGCTGACCACAGGCCTTGATTTCAAACTAGATAGCCTCATAATTCAATCAATGTTAACTCACTTATAATCAAAATTTTTAAAAGGCAGGTAAAGTTAAGAGACAAAAATTAATGAAATTACTAAAAAATTAAAATAAATTTAAATTTGATTATCTTTTGTGTGAAAAAATACTAAAACAATTTCTATGGTTATATCACAAAAGAAAAGAGAGTTGCAATTAATTAAAAAAATTTAATTAAGGATTAAAAAATGCAGGCAAAATTAAATAAAAATTACTAAAAATAAAATCAATTGAAAATTTAAAACAATGTTTTTAAAAACCACTTAAAATTTGTTTTGAAATTTTTAAAATTTTAAATTAAATTAATTTTTAAATATTATTTGTGTGTGAAAGTGACACAACATTTTGCTTTTAATATATACTGTATACAGAATACAGATTGCTGGTCATGCCAGCTGGATGGCAACCCTAATGTCATACTAAATCCCTAAAATGGGGACAGTTAGTACTGACCAAGTGCAATTTTTTCATTACTCTGACTACACAAAAAAGTCTGCTATGACAGATGGTGCCTCGTGTATGGCCATTTCATACTCTCTGCTTTGTCAGCATGAAAGTTTCCAATATCCAATAAACCGATACTTAATTCTTAATATCGTAATTTAAAACATTTTTAATATCTGACCGAAACAAATAATTTTCTTATAAAATATGGAAGAATCATTTTTAAGAATAGGATATTGTGACGAGATGTTCTCAGTATCAATACCAGGAAAATGTCTAATTTTTCCAATTCCTGATTCTGATTAACTGTCTCATCATTATTTTTTATATATCAAGTCCAATTGGCAGAAAATGTGAACTTTGAAAAAAATTTGATTTGTTTGTTGGAAAGATGTGGATGAGACTGTTAACTATTTTCATTTTGTAACCTAGGAATACTGCTATTCTCCTTATCCAGTTGAGTTCTTTATCTTTGATTGTTGTACAGTGGGAGCTTGCTCTCCTGATTTTTCTAAATGCTGCTAGTTTGTATCTCAGTAAACTAGCTGTTATATACAGGTAACTCCAGGTATTCTCGAGGGTTAGGTTTCTTGGAAATCTCTGAAATACCTAATTTGCAAATATCAAATAGGAAGGTTTATGAGGGGGGAAATAAAGTTAGGTTCCTACACATCAAACCTGGAACATGATGTCTTGGAAATGTTTAAACTTTTCAGAGGATTCAATAAGCAAACAACAACTAAAGATTTTTATTTATATGTTTAATTATTATTAGTCCTAAATTTTAAGATTGTTGTGTAGGGTTACAACAGTTTGGATAAACTGAATTAATGTTGTTTGATGGAACATTTTATTTATGTCTTTCAAGACTTCAGCATGCAAGAGCCAGATTGCTCCCAAAGTTCATTTAAACTTGAGACACTGCTGAGGAATAGTCTAATTCTTCCAACAACTTGCACAAGCATATCAATAGTGCTGCATATTTTTGAAAACTTAGAAGCTGTCATTAGGAACTTTAGTGTTTTTCCTGTTCATCATCATCCTCTTTGCTGTTAGGCAAATTTTCTGTAACTTTCATGTCCAGTTCTCATTTGAGAATTTTGTAGTTCTCTCGTACAGTATATTCACCAGTGTAAGCTCAACATCTGCCTGCATGTCCACAAATTTCTCAGACTCTGCTTTTCCATCTTTTATTATTGTAGTGGATTATTATTATTATTTTATAGAATTATGTAATTGTTGTATGTACTGTATTTACATAATTGTTGCATAAAGTTTATCATGAATGATTTTACAGTAGGCTAATTTAGTGACTTCAGTTTGGTAGTACAGTAGATGCTGTGCTTTGTGTGATTATATCAAAAAACATAAAAACTGGAGGTAATAGTACTTTTTACAAGTATTGTACTGTAATTGTAAAAGCAATTTATAGATATGCAAATATTTCAAATAGTTATGGTTGGTCACAACTTTTCAATCATGAATAAGCAAAAACACAAATATCAACAGTTACCTATATACAGGATAAGAGAGTGGTTTAATGTATAAGTTAGCATATATTTACTTATGCTTTAATGTTAAATGTCTAGAAAGTGGACTTACATGCAGCTTGTTTCTTCTACTTCAAGTTGTCTGCAGTAACTGTTAAAGTATTATGTCAGCAGTTTATTGGAAGATGGATTTGTTTGTATTGATGATTTTCATTGATGGAGAGGGAAGACGAGCCATTGACATAAGATTGCATGTCATTTTATTTTTTCTCTAGTCATCACAAATTTGTCTGAAAATAATTCCTTTGTATTTGCAAATGGTTTTTGACATATGGCCTGATGATGGATAGGGTACCTTGATTTTTGATGGGAGGATAAAAAAAAAGGGCAAATCTTTGCTGATATAGTACTTGAATAATTCCATGGGAATTGTTATTGATGGACTCTACAAATCTGTTAATGTTTATTGTTCCTCTAGATTTGTTAGTATGTCATCTCTATCTTTTTTACATTATAAACTCATTTATGAAGCTTGCTAAGATATTACTTTCCAATTTTTTCACTACTAATACACACAAGATTTTGGATACTGGTTTCTTCATGGAACCAGAATCAGGAATTTCTGCTTGAATAAACATCCTTCAAATGCAAAGAAAGAATGAAGAATGACATAAAAGTTCTGTCACTTCTATGATTTCATTTCAGCATTTGATTATCATGGATGTAGAGAAACAAAAATCTTTGAGATCATCCATGCACAGATCCAGTTTGAGAAGGGGTACTGTACTGTACATGCCTTTAAAATCAACAGTAGTAGGTAATTCATCTTTCATTAAACTTAAGTTTAAGATAAGATTATTAAATGAATATTGAATTTGTTGGAAAGATTGGAAGATTTTTCCACAAAGAATTCAGCCTTATACACATATATATTATAATTATTAAAAGTAGTAATAAAGTTTTTTGTAAATTTTTAGGATTCGTATATGCTCAGGTATTTTGAATATTTGAATCAGTTTTTGTCAGTTGGTCCTCCTGTATTTTTTGTAATTACTGGTGGATACAATTACTCAGACAAAGATGCTCAAAATAAAATATGTGCTAGCCAGGGATGTGATGATGATTCAATCATGGCCCAATTGAAGTGGATGGCAGACAGAAGTAATCGGTAAGTAATTTGTACCTATGTATATAAATCATACACAGGAATCATANCAGAAACCATGTATTTGCATCCAATTATTTGTTGGTGAAAGTTGTTAGTTTAATGAGTGATGTAATTAACAAATTTCCTCGCCAATGGTCATCTTAGTTGCTTGTTAAATTTGTATAGAATTTGCTTGATTAATAAACCCGCTGATTTTAATTCTGGTTCTAAGTGTAAGTTAGTTCAATATAGAAGATACTTCATAAAAAAGATCTTTACATTAACTCTGATATTTAAGCACACTCCAAACTTAGAAATTATATCTGAATAGTAACAGAAAATGCTATTCTAATCTACTAATCTGATTATATTTATTGGCTTAATTATGTGCAAATATAATTTTATCCAGATGATTCTCTTAAGAAAGGTAAAGCATCTTTTAACTTGCATTGGATTATCTTTTTTCTTTTTACAGAATTTATTATAAATAATATTCTAGTTATATATAATTGGAGTTAACATTAAAAATATTTTAAACAGAAAAAATGATTTTAAAATTAAGAATGTATACGAAAATTTAACATTTCAAACATTAAATTCAGAATTTAATGAAATCAAATCTCAACAGTTAAATTTAAAATCGAATAAAAACAATTTTTCTTTATAACTGGAAAAATTATAACAGTAAACAGAAAATTCAACTGGAAAATATTAAAAACATATTTTTTATATCTTTTCTGCATAAATTGTTTTATTTTCAAAAATCGATTTAATTTTTCACAAAATAAAAATGTTTTTAACAACAACATCTTTACAGAATGAATAATAATAGAAACAAACCTGAATAATATATACAAAATGTTTGGAAAATATTCTCAAAGCAATTTTAATATTTATATATTCTTTTATCTAAATTTTCAGAGAGTAAACCTTAATTTTCAAAATAAATTAGATAAGAGATTAGATTAGATTGTCAGATTATAGAACATCCAATGAAAACCAATCAACTCCCAACTGAATTTTCTCATAAGTAGACAAACAAGTAAAAATATTCCTGAATAAAGCTTTTGTCTCCCCTTCTCTGTCTGTCTCTCCCTCTCTAGCAACAGTAAGGAAGACAAGCTAGACCTGTGGATGATAATCGATGTCTCAATTTGGCAACTGAAATACTTTCTTTCGATCTAGAAGTGACTCGATTACAACGCAACAAGACTTGGTAATTACAAACCATCCTCATCTGTCGAATGTCGAAATAATAATTCCCAAGACTTCAGTGACTAGACTTAGAACTTCACTCATCTGGGAAGCGTCCTAGATATGTGGCAAATTACTGGTGCGCTCTTCCATACCAATAAGATGATTTAATCCTCAGCCAAATGTATTAATCCAATAATATTGGCTAAACTTCACATCTAATTAACTAACTTATTATCGCCTCCATCTTATCGAATTATTTATATTTAACTTCGCTTCGGTTGCTCTCTACTTTCCAACAAGAATGTTTAGTCAATCTGTGAGGGGGTAAATCAAGGTTTGCTATCGCTTTACGTGCATCCACGCTCAGGGGAAGCGAATGTCCTCATAAATTTAACGCTTTCGAAACTTGTAAACTTTAATAAATCCCAAGATAAATATGGATTTTTGACACTTCATACATATATTTGTGTGCTGAGAAAATGAAAAGATGTAAGGAAAAAAACGTTAAAAAGGACGTTCCAAATATAAAAACGTGTAGATCTTTTCTTCATAATGTAGTAATTAACGTAATATTTTTCTATCTTTATGACTTCTTCAAAGTTTTTAACTTAAAAAATGCTGCTTGAGAGCCAATAAAAAAGGGTGTTATAAAAAGCAGGTAACTGAGTAAAGAATTTTTATTTTCCTTTACAATCCAAAAGAAAAATTTGAAAATGAGTTGCAAATTTTATATTATGTAAAAGATATAAATTTAATTAAAGATAATTTGCAGTTAGGAAAGAGATAATAAGTATTCAAACGGCTGCAGAGTGTAACCTTTCTAATTATAATATTTTGTATTGCACTTAATTAGTATAATCAGATTCAGAACGTGAGGCGAAGCTAATAACACATATATATATATCTACATATAATAAAAGATATATCGATTCTAAATCATATAGAGATTTATGAGGTTACCAATAAAGTACTACAGATATTAGTTCATTAAACCATCAATTTATTACTTGTTAGCGATTTCTGGTTTTCTATAGAAGCCAATGTAGAGTGATGACATTAAAGAAACGTTTAATGGGTTGTAATTTAGAAATGATTGTTAAAGGAAGTAAGCTGTAAGATCTCACTTTTTGCAAACGAGAAACTTTTTTAAAATAATTGTTAAAAGAAGTAAAGTATAAGATCTTACTTTTTGCAAACGAGAAACTTTTTTAAAATAATTGTTAAAAGAAGTAAAGTATAAGAACGTCCTTTTTTGCAAAAAATAAATATTTTTTAAAATAATTCTTAAAGGAAGCTCTTATTACAAAAAAAAATATTTATTTATTTATTAAAGAATTATTAAAAGAATCAAGGTATAAGAACGCCCTTTTTGCAAGGAAATTTTTTTCATTAAATAATTGGTAAAGGAAGCAAAGCATAAGAACGCCCTTTTTTCAAAGGAAAAAAATGTTTTTCCTAACAATTTCTTTAATACGTATATTTTTTAAAAAGAAAACGTCTGAACAGAAATGATAACATTCTTAGATTTGATATACTGTCAGACTTATAGGGAAAAACGAGCTGGAAAAAAAAGGAATCTGATGAACCTATATCTATTGGTATTTTGTCTTCTGTTGCAAATGGAAAAAATTTCCTGTCGGATTATGTCATACGAGGATTTACAATGATTTGACAGAAAACAATTTTTTCTTCTAAAATATTAAAAATATATATTTTTAAACTAAATATGTTAGAAAATTTTCTCAAAAATATTCTATTAAACTAATGCATACACCTTTTTAATTCTAAATCGAAGCGATTTGTGTTTTTAAACATTAAAAAAATTCAATATAAGCATTTAAAATTATAAATTTATAATATTAAATATGTCAGAAGTTATGCGGTAATTACTTATAATTTAATTTAAAACAGAATTAAAGAAATTAATTTAATATTAAACCATTAACAGAAACATTTAAAAATAATTCTTTCTACAAAAAATGTTGTTAATTAAATTCAAATTAATTAACACAATATTATAATTTAATGCGTTAAGCGTGTTAAAAATAATAAAATTTTATTAATGTTTAAACGTTATGAACATTTTTAAAATAATTTATAAAAGTTTAGCCTATTTAAAGAATATATTTTATAACGGAATAAATATTTAAAATATGTAATTTATGCATGTAAGGCCGTCGAAACTTCGTATGAGGCCTGGAGCAGAGCGAGCCAATTTTGTCCCCTATAGGGCCCATTATGTTTTTTTTTTTTTTTGACAAATGAAATACGTATAATGTTTCTCTATTAATAAAAAGCATTTATGAAAGATTTTATTTCTTGTTAGTAAAAATAATATTAATTTATAGGCCTTAATAGGGCCCTAAATTTTCTTCGGGTAAGGGGAAAAAGCTGTAGCTCCCCTTCTAGACAGCCCTATTTTTAATAAGATAAATGAATTTAATTATTGTATTAATAGAAAACGTGCATGAAATATTTTAAATATAAAAACCAAAAACTAGTATGATAAAAATAGAGGAATAAAATATTTAACATATGAACTGAATTGGCACAGAAGATCTTATAACTAAGAAAAAAAAATACTACAATTTTTCCTCTCGCCATAGACAACATCCAATGTTTCCTTACAATATAAAAAAATCCGTTCGACGTCAAGATACCCACCAATACTCAAGGGAAACAAGCGTAAACTCCGAGATATTTTCCTATCTTAGTAATACAGANTTTTTTTTTTTTTTTGACAAATGAAATACGTATAATGTTTCTCTATTAATAAAAAGTATTTATGAAAGATTTTATTTCTTGTTAGTAAAAATAATATTAATTTATAGGCCTTAATAGGGCCCTAAATTTTCTTCGGGTAAGGGGAAAAAGCTGTAGCTCCCCTTCTAGACAGCCCTATTTTTAATAAGATAAATGAATTTAATTATTGTATTAATAGAAAACGTGCATGAAATATTTTAAATATAAAAACCAAAAACTAGTATGATAAAAATAGAGGAATAAAATATTTAACATATGAACTGAATTGGCACAGAAGATCTTATAACTAAGAAAAAAAAATACTACAATTTTTCCTCTCGCCATAGACAACATCCAATGTTTCCTTACAATATAAAAAAATCCGTTCGACGTCAAGATACCCACCAATACTCAAGGGAAACAAGCGTAAACTCCGAGATATTTTCCTATCTTAGTAATACAGAATTTTTTTCCCTGTTCCTTTCTTCTAAAATGCCTTGTCTTTGTAGGCGTTATAGCACATCTGGCGTCACTACAATACATCGGATGTACGAAATAAAGCGTTGAGGTAATGTCAACCCGAGACATCCAATGTAATGAACTAAACAAATATTAAACATCGTCACCAAACAGAAGAGCATAGCGTTAAAGCGGATGCAATTCAAATAATACCCTACACAATATATAGAATATTCTAAGCTTAGTGTCAAGATATTAAAGTTTAGAAGTGGATAATTGTCTTTAAATATTTTCGCATCTCGGTAGTAGATAATATCATGATTTGCATACCAGAAATAATGAGCGTTTATCTCCATCTCTTAACTGTCAGGTGGAGGAGACACGGATGTCTATCTACTAAACATAACTACAGCATACCAATATGCATATTAATTAGTTAGAAATCAATTGGGGGTTAAGAAATAAAGCTGTGTAAGCAGAGAAGGAGAATTCTATCGAAAACGTGCTCGGTGTCATTGTTATTTAACAATAGAAGAGACTGGAGAATTTTCTCTACTCAAAGCCCACAGTCTGACAAGACCATCGATTGAGTTGAACGACCAGACATATAACCAACAATATATCACA